GTGTGTGTGTGTGTGTGTGTGTGTGTGTGTGTGTGTGTGTGCACTGATAGAAATTTTAACTTGACTCAAGAGCAAAAATCTTGAACTAAGAACACCAATTGGGAGAAAATGAATTTCTTGAGCCAAGAGTAAAAATTCTTGGGTCAAGATATATTTTCTTAAGTCAAGAGAATCTATCATGACTCAAGAATTTTTCCTTTTGGCTCAAGAAATTCATTTTCTTCCAATTGGTGTTCTTAGTTTAAGATTTTTGCTCTTGAGTCAAGTTAAAATTTCTATCAGTGCACACACACACACACACACCTTGATAGAAATCTTCGTAGGAGTATTAAGAGCTACTTCTTAGGACCTTAAAAATGTGGAGATCAGATTAGAACTTGATTTTCGAAAACTGGCTTTGAACCAATGACTTCCCGATTTTTTTTTTTTTTTAAATCATTTATTTGTAACGTGAGAACTTAAAAATTTAGAAAAAAAAATTTTAGATGTGAAAAATAAATTATTATGATGCACAATGACGATAAAAATTACTTCACAGTAAAAAATTTTTCGTCAATTTGTAAAGTGCAAAAGTTTTTGTGTAGCAAATTACACTCTAGTGTGTATAATTTTACATTCTCATGTGTTGATTTAACATACGAGAATGTAGAATTAACATTAGTTTGTGTAAAAACAGTCAGTAACACAAATATTTGTGTTAAATTTGACGAAATTTTTTTTACTGCATGTAAAAAAAATTTTTTTTCCTCTGAAATTGTAGGAAATGACGTTAAAATATATTTTAGAAAGCTAAAAAAGCTTTTTGAAAAAAAAAAATTTTTTTACGAAATTTTGGGGGTACCCCATTTTGCCACCCCTACCCCATTTTGCCCCCCCCCTCCCCTAAATAAATAAAAAAAACTTGAATAAAAATTAGTGACAATGTGTTTGGAATCTCATTAAATGTAGACCTGGAGATATTATTTAGCCACATGTTTGCAACACATGTTTGCTGAATTTTTCCATGCTAGGCCATTTGCTGAAGGACGCAGGTATGGTATACATATGTTGGATCGAAAGTCATGTGAAAATGAAATTTAATATATTTATGTATGCACTTAGTTTCTACTTGATTCACACGTACCAAGCGATCTGTATATATGCATACATATATCTGTTTTTTTTTATATTTATTGAAATTTTATTTATTCATATAATCTTTCTTTAAATACACAATAAATTTCCAGTAATTTAAAAGTTGGATTGATAACTGATAATAATATATAAAAAATTAAAATAAAATATGTAATTAGAAAAATGTATCAGATTTCAAAGATTCTATTAAATTGTCTGCTTTATTTCTAACAGATTTTATTTCATATTATTGAAAAAATTTATTTTTATTTAAGTTTATTATATTCCAACTTGGGTGGACATAAAAAGGACTGATAATTATTAAAGTACTGCTCCACCTTTTTTTTTGAACATAAAATAATTATCAAAATCTTTTTTTCTTTTAGTTATCTTCTTTTTTCTACAATCTCAGTTGTAAAAAAATAATTTGGAGAAAAAAATAACTAAAAAGTAAGTTTTTAACATTAATACTAAAAGAAGAAATATTTATTTTGAATCTAAAATCAATTACCAAATTTTAAACATATTTATTATTGCTAAAATCGAATTATTACAATTCAGAAGAAAATTAAAACCTAAAAAAGAAATTAATTTTTTTGATTTTTCTTAACAAATGCTTGTAAGAAAAAAATATTTTTACTATTTAAAATACTCAACTCTTTTTCTATTCCGTAAATAATTATTCTATCCAATAGATAACTCATAAATATAAAAATAAATTCAGTAAAACTTTCACTTGAATAGTTTGTTTAAAAAGAAGTAAACATTTGGTAAGTTAAAAAATGTTAGTTATTGTTAAGCTGGCAATAAAGGTCTGAGCAATAAAATTTTAGTGTTAAGGTAGTTTATAATAGCGCAAACATATGTTTGGAAAGTAGCTAACTCTTGCAAGTGGTAGACACGTTGCAGCGCTGCTAAGTTAAATAATATTTAAGATGGGAGTCTAATATAATACAATAATTTAGTCTTGTTTAGATTACTTATTCTCATCATTGTCATATATGTGTATAAATAATATATATCTGTATAAACGAATACCAACTGTATATTACTATAGTGTAAATGAAGTAAGTACAGTGTCCCACGGTTGCATTGCTCCGTATGTTCAACACATGCTGGTATCGTAAAGGTACATAGGAAGCATCAGCGCAAAATGTCTTTGAGTTTAGAATCATAAATCACACTTCGATAAATAAAACAAGCTGAGATATTTTTTTTCTAATTTGTTGATAAATACCGAGTATAGTAATTGCAATTGTAGTAAAATAAAAAATTCTTTTTATTTTTATTTCAATTATAAAAAAAAATATTTTTAAAAAATTTGCACTTAAAATTTTTTTTAATTTTTAGATATGAAATTTTTTTATTAAAATTTTTTCATTGTAATATAGTTATAAAAATCTAAAAAATTAACAGATATATATTAATTTCAGTATCATGAAATCATAACATTTATTTTGTAATTATAGTTTTAAATTCATGCTTATTCATTGTCACAATTATTTTTATTTTGTATTTTATACTTGGGTTTTTTTTTTTTTTTTTTTTTTTTTTTAAAGAGGGATAAGTAATAAGGTAAAAATTTATATTATATATTCTCAGGTAAGTAGATTCAAATCCGTTTAATTACTGGGAGTCCCCAGGCCCTGCAGTCTAGAGGGCTTAAGCTAAGAGAATCGTTGGGGTTTTCCGAGCAATAAAACCGAGCCGTCATTCTTATATGCAGTTGTAGTAAAAGTAAATACAGTTGTCCTTTTTGACACTCAACATCTTGACTATTCTTCGGGAACCTTGAAGACCAGGTACCTTGGTGAAAATATAATAATTTTACTGGTGGCCACTTAAAATTTTTCGCATATTAAGTATCGGCTGGGACAGATGTTAGTTTTAGAATTAAAGATAATAACTTTGATAATTTTTAGCTTTTTTTAATATAAAAAAATTATATTAGAATTTGGTATCTTTTTTTTTAAATTATAAATAAATTTTTTGTGATTTTTAAGTATGAAATATTGTGTGTAAGAATATAGCTTTTTTTTTTAATTTTAAAATAAAAATTTACAATAAGTAGTTAAGATGACAAAAAAAAAATTTTACCTTGCAATGGTGCAACTTGGCGCGTTGAGTCGGAAGTCATAAAAGGCTCTTGAGAAATAATTGACTTTTGTAAAATTTCCCGGACAACAATTCCATCATTTTGGGAAAAAAAATTGATCTTCAAAGATCTAAACCCAGCATTTAACTTAGATTTACGTAGATCTCGATTTCTCATTTGTTACTTACATAGTATAGAGATAAAGAGAAAAAAGAGCAAATCATCTCGAGTACAAATTTTGTGTGTAAAAGAGATTATAAAGCCATATGAAAATTTTTCTTTCGGCTCGATACTTAAATACGTAATTTGAGTTTTAAATCTTTGAAAATTAGTTTTGTTCATTTTCTGTTCACAGATTATGTAGATTTTTTCAATTTAAATATAAATTAAAACTTTGCGATTTAAAGAAAATTAATAATTTTAATAAGTCACAATTTTCAATTTTAATAAAAAATTTCATTGTTTTATTACAACTTGTAACTTCTGAAAAATTTATTTAGCAACAATATTGATGCAAGAGTTTAAAATTAAAAATAAATAAAATTAAAAAATTACGAATTTTTAAAAATTGAATTTTGAAACATTAAAAAAAATAAAAAATTTTACAAAATAATTTTTTAATCAAAATAAAAATAAAAAAAAACTTTTGAAATTGTGTAAAAAAATACTCAAATCCTTTTTTAAATTAAAAAATATGATAAATTTTCTTACACAGCTCTGACACCAAATTTTAACAGCAAAACTTTAAAAAAAAAATTTTTTTCCGACAAATTTTGAATTTTTGCATTACATCTGCTTGCAATGGATTTCAAAATGCACTTAATCTGAAAAAAGGTGTTATTAACGTAAATACAAAATTAGGAAAATATCAAAGCGTATGACAGTAATCATTATTATGATATTAAAGTGACATGGTTGGTAAATTTTATAAATACCTCACACTCATATATAGTTACGTATGAGCTGACGCGATGATACGGTGATGGGCAAATGAGACGAAATCATGCTAGTCTTGGCGTTAATCCAATATTTAATCTTTAATCATCCAGGAGATAAATAATCATCATTATTATTACCGCGATCAAAGAAAATCGTCGTAATTTATTAAAATCAACCGGCTGTCGCGGTAAAAAATATCTTCAAAAAAAAAAAAACGCCAATATCAACATTTCAATGATAATAAAAATAAATAAACAAATAACAAAATATAAAAGCACAACCAATTGACTTCTGAAACAATGATATAAATAATCAGGCTCCCTTCTTCCAAGCTCATCTAGATCGCCGTGACAGAGGCATCATAATACACAAATCTTACATTACTATACATTAGCTGGTAGGTCTGGATGATGCCTCAGCTCTGGATGGACCCCAAGCTCAGCTTCCAAGTCTTGTGTGGGTGGGGACGACTGACAGCAAGTTGGGATAAAAGAAAATCCTCGGGGTGGGGCTAACATCTGAGCGAGAGAGAAGATGGAGGCGGGCTTGGTTGGCTAACTGACGTGATCTTCTGAAGTTAAGATTCTGGCGTCAGTTTGCTAGACCGGCAGACGAATCAAGACTCGAGTCGAGACGAGACACTCATCTCTAAAGCCATTGTCAATTTTGCTCCGAGTACTTGGAAGAGTTTTTTACAACTCTTATCTACAGTTTTTTACAACTATTGTCTTGACTTTAAGTGCATCCGCAGGTGAAGTACCAAGTGGTGATCAAGTGTTTGAAAAAAAAAATTCAATTCAAGTGTTTTATTTAGACAATTTATCAATACCAATGATGCAAGCACAGCAACTGGTGACTCTATCGGCTCCTAAGCCGGTTCCAAATCTTTATTATCTGGTAGACTCACCAGGAATTCCCCACAATGGAGGAAATCTACAGAGCGCAGGGATTCCACACAGCGCGGGCAGTTCTGCAAGCAATTCGCCGGTCCAATTTGAACGTTTTTCATCTCCAAATCATTTAGTGGACTTGAGCAGTCCTCAGGAGCACCGGCTGCTTCCGGAGTTCCATCACCCTCACCATCACCATTTAGAACATCTTCACAACCCGCATCATCAACATCAACAGCAGCAGCAGCAGCATCACCACCATCATCATCCCCTTCAAGTTTATCAATCGGCTCCTACAAATTTTTACAACTACTACGACTCCTACGAAGACAGCAAAAGATCTCAAAATTTGTCCCACTCCCAACTTGATTATGACCGACACGATTCACCGGGATTCATCTCAGACCAAAGTCCTGAACACGATCAAATTTATGTCCCAAACTCGTCTTCTCCTCTACAAATGTACAACTCACCCGACGGTGGTGAAAGCGCTGGTGGAGCAGATGAAATTTCTTCAGAGTCACCCCATTATAATAATTCTCAAAACAGCGATATTGTTGAGTACAAACCAGTGATTACGAACAAAAAAGTGCCGGGTATTGTAAATGCGAACAAACGCAAAATAGTTATGGAAGAAGCTTCCTCGTCTTCGAAAAATTATGATCGTGAGATTAAAACCGAGGGTGGAATTAAAAGAAAACGAAAAGTTAGTGTTAATGATGAATCTGAAAATGAAAGTATTGCTTCTTCTTCGGGATCTAAAAGAAAAATTCGCCGTAAAAGTGGTGCTAGCTATGAAGAAATTCAAAATCAACGCGTTATGGCTAATGTAAGAGAAAGACAAAGGACTCAGAGCCTTAATGAGGCTTTTACTTCTCTCAGAAAAATCATTCCAACTTTACCAAGTGATAAATTAAGTAAAATACAAACTTTGAAACTTGCTACCAGATACATTGATTTTTTATATCACGTATTGCACGGCGTAGACAACTCAGATAATGGCAATTGTCCAGATGATAGTGATGGTAAGATTCAAAATGTAAGCTTTATATATTTTTTAATTTTAATTTTTTTTTTAACTAAAAAATTTCAGTCTTCGTTAAAATTTTTTTGCTTTAAATAAACTTCTTTTATGAAAATTAATTTATCAGATATTTATTAAATTTTAACAATTAAATTATGGCAAAAAAAAAAAAATTGTCATGTAGAAATTTAAAAAAATTAAAAATGCAATTTTTTAAAAATTATTTTTCGCAACAAATTTATTTGTTAAAAAAAATTAAAAAATTATCAAGTGACTGCTAACTTTAATGTCATACTTTTTTTTTCTGTTTAAATTATTTTAGCATGAAAAAAATTCGGATAAATAGGTATTTGTCCAAGACATAAAAGACTTGATTGATAAATGTTTACCTTGGATATAACAAAGAATACACTTTACCGGGTTATTAAATCACGGGCCAGTGAGTCAGATAAGTACGACGGTTGACGCGTGTAAATGCAACTAAGCCAAGACAGGCGCCAATCTTCAACAAACGTCTTCATATATATATATATAAAATATATATTCATTTTCATTTACATATACAGAAGTTAATGTGACATATAGACGTATATATATTTATATTTATATAATATTTAAAAATTCTGTTTACTTTACAGTAGTTTTATTATTTTAGAGCCAGTAGTAGACTAAATGATGAGACAAGAAAAGACTTTATGGCCCGTATTGATAGTCTAGTATGCTCATTTACAAAAATTATATCTGCGTAGACAGAAATATTTATACCAACAAATTACCAACGTGCTTAATTAATTTTTATTTTTTTTTTAGGTCACTTGAATCCGAGAAATGCGATTTTGGAGGCTCGAGAAATAGCAGCGTCTACACCGTGCACATACATGGCTCACCAGAAGCTTTCAGATGCATTCAGATTTTGGCGAATGGAAAGTGATTGGCATCCCAACTAAGTAATTTTATCGAGAAAAAAAAACAAATTGTGGTAAAAATAATAACCTTAAGTACTCTTCTCTTCTGTATTGTACATACGGTGCGGGTTTATTTCCTACTTTCGCTGGCTCGAAAGTACTAAGAAATGACCGAAGAAGATTTATTTTGTAAGGCCGGACAGTGAATGGGAATTTTCATTGATCCTTAGAACTTAAAGCTTGAAAGGTTACCAGGTATAATACCATTGGCGACAATGGAGAATTATTACTATTACTATTGGATTTTCCAAAGTATCTTTTTTGTAATGTTATATACAAACAAATTTAAGTCCATAGTATAGACTGTAGTCGAAAGAGAGACCGGGAAATTTTATTCCAAAATTCTTATGGTTTTATTTTATTCTGTAATTTATTGTATTTTTGTTAAATTAGGGTTTAAAAAATTTTCGTGGGAAAAAGCAAATTAGTTTACAGTATATATTGCATTAACTTACGGGATATTCCCCGAGGACTTTTGTTTTAAAAAGTTTAATATAAACAGACCAAAAATGAAATAAAAAAATAATTATGAGGGGAGATATATGTGGAAGCTGTCGTCGTTGCCCGGAAAAATATTATTTTTTCTTAAGCTTAGATGACTCTGTACTGGATAGATGGATGGATGGATGGATGGATGGGTAGAAGGATAGATGGATGGATGGCGGAGCCTTGTTGAGTATGCAGCCGACTAGACATGTGTATAGTTTATATATATTAACTTCTTCTTCTTCTTCTTCTTTATTTTATTTTACTTGTATGCTCGGCTAGGTGGCTTAGCCACTAATACACAACATATAATATAACACACAGTAGCAAAGTTAATATAAGTCTTCTTCTTAACTTCTTTCTTTCTATTCATACGCAAGTCGCGTCAATTTCTCTCTCGGGGGGCCCAAGACGACCGACCCCGTATCGTGTGAATATTTTGGATAGCTTTCGTGGTTATTTTAAAACCACGCGCTCAGCTAAACTCACAGCTAAGCGCGTTTAACTGTTTTGCGGTATGAGTATTTGCTGATATAAGATTTTTACCTTATTTTTTTTTTAAAATAAAAAAAAAAAAGTCATTGCTTTGAATTGAACTTTTTGTTTAGTTTAAATTTTTTATTAAAGAAGATAATTTTAAATAATTTATTATCTAAAAGTTTATGGTGCGATTTTTAAAAATTAAGTAAATTACATCACAGGAAAAAAAAATTTGAGTGTAAAAAAAAATTAAAATTTTTTGTCAGCAAATAGTGAACATAAATCTCGTTGGATTCAATTAAAAAAGATAACTACAGTGAGACAGAGAGTCTCCTGCAAACTACCAGTGACGTTTTTGGGGAGTGAAGCTATGCTATAAAAACAAACTTAATAAATACAAATTTTTTTCTTACGCCACATTTTATACACTGGTATGACAACTAAAGCTACCAGATTTTTATTTCCTTCATTTATTTTAATTTCATTTTTTTATTTTATTTATTGTCTACTACTTTTTTAATCACTCGGTCCTGGTTATTTTCTCACGATTTAGATTTTACACTTAAAGCTAATGCGAAATTTAAAACTAAAAGCACTTGTGTTTTATTTTACTAATTAAAATGTGCTTATTTTTTTTATTTTTTTTTTCTTAATTTGTTTAAAGTCGCATAAACTACTAAGGTCATGAGCGACTACGGTAGGGGGTAAACTTTTGAGATTGGAACTCGTTTTATTTCTTGGGCTGAGCAGTATAATACACTTAAATATTGAAAATATTCATTGGTGTACGCCGGACTCGAACCCGGTCCAATGTTTTGGTAAGCAAGGGCCGGATCCGATAGGCTACTGCGCGCCCCAAAATGTGCTTATTATTCTTATTAATTCTATAGTAAAAATCGCTAGCATCCCTGCAGCGATCATGCAGTTATTATTCACCAAAGATTCAATAATATATAAACATGAAAATCCAATCATCACAATTAATTCATACTTGTACAATGTACATAAATTAGTATTTTTAATTTACTCTTCTAATCAGATGTAAATCATTTTTGAATTACAAACAATTGGTTTATAATAGTACACTATATTAAAAAATTCGAATATAATTAATAATATAATAGTAATGTAAATATATTTATTATCATCATGATAAACCGTCGCTCTTACGAACAATACACATAATTTTGTTACGGTAAAATTGGTATGCGGCCGGTTGATGCAATTAAATAAATTATTAATAGAATATACTTACTAGCGTACTACGGATGATTCAATCGTTCGATGATATAAATGAGATATAATAACAATTGTAAATATACATTTTAATAGATATTAATATTAATTTGTAAATATTAATTAATGTTAGTGCGCATACTTGGAAATATTTTTTTTTTTAGTAACTAAGTGTAAAATAAAAATGTCATTCCTTGATTCGTATGCAATTTAGCATTCGGTACTCCACTTTATTTATAATGTAAAGCCCAGTATTTTTGTAACTAATGAAAATTATAAATTTTAATAAATGATCTTTTGATAAATTTAGTTTTTTTTTTTCTATTATTACTCAGAAAGAAGAATGTTAATACATTCTAATTTATTCTTTAAAGATTATTTGTATAAATTATTTTACCTGTGATAAAAAGAAGTGACGCTTCGATTTTGAACATTACAATACTATTTTACTTTTTATTTCAATTAATGAGAAGTATAGATTGTGTTAACGATGTTACATTATATTCTTATAATCAAAGTAAGTATCTTCGAATCTAATAGTATCTGAGTATCTGATATTTTTTTCTTACTTTATTATTAAGAAATCAATGAGTTTGATTTGAAAAAAGAATTCTTGAACTAAAAAAAAATTTTTGAACAGTTTTTCGAATGAATTAAATTGAACAGAGAAATTCATTAATCAAATGAAAATCATACAAGCCAAGAACAATTTTTTTAGTTTCAATAAAGATAAAGAAATTCTTAAAAATATGATTTTCTTGATACAATATTTTTCTCTAAAATCCACTTAATTTTAAGTCGCATGTACACGTTAATTTATTTAAATATTTAAAGTTTCAAACTTAACATTTTTACCTTAAATTTTTGGAAAGACACATTACGAAATTTTAATTATGATAGTGTGATACTTAACACTAAAAAGAATAATCGTTAATTATTTATCGTAATTTTGAAGTATATACTTTAAAAATAATTAAAATTTTTAAAAATGATTTTTAAACCAAAAGTTTTTAAAATGTATAATTTTATAAAAATTGAAATTATTATCACTTTTAAAGTAATGGATATCAAGATAGAAAATGAATTGAAAAAACAGAGTATTCCATGTGCACTTTAACCTAGATTTAATAAAAAGATGATTCTAAATCTCCGCCCAGTTAGCGATGCAGTTGGCTTGGAAATTATCAATTGCAAGAAGTCGGCATCCAATAGTTACGCTTCCTTTTGTTTCAAGGCGGTCTTTTTTTACCTCTTACAATTGCTTTTTTATGACTCAAAAATCCCATTACATTTCACATTAAATTAATAATTATCGAATGATACTTCGATACAGATGATGAGTCAGAAACTAAATTAATCACTAGTACGATAAGTTTTAATTATTAATAGTTCAATTATTAAGAAGTTTGAGTAATGAAATTATAAGAGCTGTTCACAAAAGTAAACTAATTAACAAAAAGGTCAACTAGAAAATAATAATGCTTTAAAACTGATGTATCAATTATAATGAAGATATAATAAAGAATGTGTTCTATAAATAAGACAATTATTTTTACAGCTTCTTGGTTATTCCAAGATAACGATGAACATATATATACATAATATCATTTTCTAAAAAAAATTAAAAATTTATATTTTTAATTTAAAATATGTATACTTTTTTGTTTAACATCTTTGGATGATTTTTGCTGAATTGAATTGAAATATTAAATGTAAATTGCATGTTTTTAGCATTAAGAACAAATTAAACATTAAAAATATGTTTAACGTTTTAGTCGTATTCAAAATGTATCGTAATCGTATCACAAATCGAATGGAATCTATTTAAACTAAAAATTGATCTAGTTTTTAGGTCTTAGTCCAATTTTATCAAAAACTGAAGGTTACAGAAGAGTAAGAAATTTTTCATTGTCGGTCATAGTAATTTAATTTTTCATTTTTAGTGTTCAATACGTTTTTAACGTTAAAAGTGTAAACGTTCAGTTTACATCTGATATTTTGATGGGAAAGGCAAGGAATTTAGTTCAAAAGGGGCATTGCTTTATTTATGAGCATCAGACAAAAAAGTAATTGAATACCAAAAATAGTGACTTCATTAGCAATTTTCTAATTCTGCCGCTCTATATAATTAAATTAAATATATAAAAGTCACATAAACTTTACAGGTTTCGTATTTTATATGATTATATATTCCGAGTTAAGCACAAAATGCAAACTTACAAGCCTCCTCTTTCGTCACTGTTCCTTACAGACGGAACATAAAACGTTTTTATGGCAGCATAAGTAGCTTTTGGCAGTTTAAGACTTGTTTCGTTAGCATATATGACTCGATTTATTCTGAGATTCATGGAAGTATCACAAGAAATCACCATGAATACGAACAAGTATAGAAATTTTTTTACAAATCGAGCTTTTAATATAGTAGATTCAAATAAAAATCAGGAATTTAAGCAAGATAAAAGAAAATTTTATTCCAAGTGTCGTTTTTAATACGTTTTTAATTAATAGCTTTGAACTCATTTACTTAAAAGATAAAGACGAAGTAATACATAACTAATATTAAGTACTTATATATAGAGTTATATTTAATAGTATATACAGACAGGAAGAAAAATTATGATATCGATTGACAAAAAGTTTAAGAAGAAAAATTGCGGATTAGAAAATTTGGGATTTAAAATCATTGACTTCCTACGTTTATGTAAGAGATGAAATTGCCCGGAAAAATTTCTCATTAAAATATTTGATTAGGTTCATTTTGAGGTAAGTGTGAACCAAAATTTCAACCAAGTATTTGGTCTACAAAAAAGTCGTTGAGCATAATGAGCGATAAGAAAAAATTTACAAAATTTACAACATAAAATATACAGCAACGAGTGATGCGTAGAAAATAGTTAATCCTGGAACATTACAAGCGGAAGCACCAGTGAAACTGTCATCAGAAGGATTGTAAAGTCCTGCTAGAGATATTTTACGAGCAAGACTATTGGTTTTTAGAACGCTCGATGCAAGGGGTTTCTCTGTTGCCACTGGATTTTGTTGATCAGTTCTTTGAGTAGAAGATTGTTTATCAAGATGTCCTTGAGAAGAATTAATTTGACCAGAATTTAGCGTATCAAGTTCCTGATGAGGAGTAATTACTTGATCGGGCGTTTCTTCCTGATGTTGATCTTGAGGGGGAATAACTTGATCAGGCGTTTCTGCCTGATGTTCACCTTGAGAAGGAACTATTGGACCATGGGCTTCGTCCTTATGTTCACTTTGAGAAGGAACTACTGGACCATGCGTTTTTTTTGAATGTTCACCTTTAGAAAGAACTTCAGGACCATGGGTTTCTTCCTGATGTTCACCTTGAGAAGGAACTCCTGGACCATGGGTTTCTTCCTGATGTTCACCTTGAGAAGGAACTACTGGACCATGTGTTTTTTTCGAAGGTTCACCTTGAGAAGGAACAACTGGACCATGGGTTTCTTCCTGATGTTTATCTTTAGAAGGAACTTCTGGACCATGGGTTTCTTCCTGATGTTCACCTTGAGAAGGAACAACTGGACCATGGGTTTCTTCCTGATGTTTATCTTTAGAAGGAACTTCTGGACCATGGGTTTCTTCCTGATGTTTACCTTTAGACGGAACTTCTGGACCATGGGTTTCTTCCTGATGTTTACCTTTAGACGGAACTTCTGGACCATGGGTTTCTTCCTGATGTTTACCTTTAGACGGAACTTCTGGACCATGGGTTTCTTCCTGATGTTTACCTTTAGACGGAACTTCTGGACCATGGGTTTCTTCCTGATGTTTATCTTTAGAAGGAACTTCTGGACCATGGGTTTCTTCCTGATGTTTACCTTTAGACGGAACTTCTGGACCATGGGTTTCTTCCTGATGTTTACCTTTAGACGGAACTTCTGGACCATGGGTTTCTTCCTGATGTTTACCTTTAGACGGAACTTCTGGACCATGGGTTTCTTCCTGATGTTTACCTTTAGACGGAACTTCTGGACCATGGGTTTCTTCCTGATGTTTACCTTTAGACGGAACTTCTGGACCATGGGTTTCTTCCTGATGTTTACCTTTAGACGGAACTTCTGGACCATGGGTTTCTTCCTGATGTTTACCTTTAGACGGAACTTCTGGACCATGGGTTTCTTCCTGATGTTTACCTTTAGACGGAACTTCTGGACCATGGGTTTCTTCCTGATGTTTACCTTTAGACGGAACTTCTGGACCATGGGTTTCTTCCTGATGTTTACCTTTAGACGGAACTTCTGGACCATGGGTTTCTTCCTGATGTTTACCTTTAGACGGAACTTCTGGACCATGGGTTTCTTCCTGATGTTTACCTTTAGACGGAACTTCTGGACCATGGGTTTCTTCCTGATGTTTACCTTTAGACGGAACTTCTGGACCATGGGTTTCTTCCTGATGTTTACCTTTAGACGGAACTTCTGGACCATGGGTTTCTTCCTGATGTTTACCTTTAGACGGAACTTCTGGACCATGGGTTTCTTCCTGATGTTTATCTTTAGAAGGAACTTCTGGACCATGGGTTTCTTCCTGATGTTTACCTTTAGACGGAACTTCTGGACCATGGGTTTCTTCCTGATGTTTACCTTTAGACGGAACTTCTGGACCATGGGTTTCTTCCTGATGTTTACCTTTAGACGGAACTTCTGGACCATGGGTTTCTTCCTGATGTTTACCTTTAGACGGAACTTCTGGACCATGGGTTTCTTCCTGATGTTTACCTTTAGACGGAACTTCTGGACCATGGGTTTCTTCCTGATGTTTACCTTTAGACGGAACTTCTGGACCATGGGTTTCTTCCTGATGTTTACCTTTAGACGGAACTTCTGGACCATGGGTTTCTTCCTGATGTTTACCTTTAGACGGAACTTCTGGACCATGGGTTTCTTCCTGATGTTTACCTTTAGACGGAACTTCTGGACCATGGGTTTCTTCCTGATGTTTACCTTTAGACGGAACTTCTGGACCATGGGTTTCTTCCTGATGTTTACCTTTAGACGGAACTTCTGGACCATGGGTTTCTTCCTGATGTTTACCTTTAGACGGAACTTCTGGACCATGGGTTTCTTCCTGATGTTTACCTTTAGACGGAACTTCTGGACCATGGGTTTCTTCCTGATGTTTACCTTTAGACGGAACTTCTGGACCATGGGTTTCTTCCTGATGTTTACCTTTAGACGGAACTTCTGGACCATGGGTTTCTTCCTGATGTTCACCTTGAGAAGGAACTTCTGGACCATGGGTTTCTTCCTGATGTTCATCTTTAGGACCATTCCGTTGATCAGTTTCCGCTTGACCAGTTTGTTGTTTGGAATGTTCATTGGTAGGATCCTGTTGCTGCAAATCTTGTTTTCGACCATCCCTTTCTGCTGGGTTCACGAGTTCTCGGTTATTTTCATCACCATCTTTTCCGTTTGCAAGAGGATGTGCAAGTCCTGAATCTGCAATATATAAATAATAATACCGACATGTGCCTCTAAGATCTTAATTAATTTGTTGTTGTATTGACTTGCTGCTAACCTGCTTTATATATTCCGAAGCATTCAGCAGTACAATTCAAATAATTTTTTGATTTCGAGAATTTAATTGCTCACAATTATCTGTTTGATTTTGTACAAAGAAAAAATTTAATGATTATAATTATTTTCGCTTTTCTATAACAGTTACTAGTCTTGGAATGATATTCTTGTATTACTCTGTGGATTCCTACTGACTTTCGAAATTTAAATATATTATTATCATTCATATGCCAGTTTAAAAAATTTAAAATCCATTGCGGTAATGGTAACTACAAAATTTTTTTGAATCTTTTATTACGGAAAAATCGAAAATTTTTGCCTACCTTTACATCTTAAATTAAATCTAATTATTAATTTTACTTAAGTTACATTCAAGGTACAGATTATTTTATCATTAAAATGACTTTTCCGTTAACTCAAGAACCTTTTGTACGATGAATATTCGATAGTTTAATTATGATATCTCAGGAAGCAAATTTGATTTTTATTCCTAATTTGTTTTACGATAGAAACTTCTATGTTGCCCAAACAATAAATATATAGACAGTTAAATATCTTTCCTTAAAAATTTTTTTTCATCAAAGTAAGCACACAGCAATACTTAGTCAAATGTATTCGTTTTGTTACAAATTCTATTCATACATAGAATAAATGATAATCTTTTATCACTTATTTAGTTGTTCTACATACCGAAGGAAAACGTATAATTTTTAACCAAGCATAAAATAATTTTGAATCGAAATTCCGAAGTCAAGACATAAAATTTTTGAATTCGAAAAACTAGTTTCCTTAACAATGATTCTCGTTGCTACAGATTATTTTTTTTAAATCAAATTCTCTTTCGTAGTTTCTGTATAATCAGTGTGTGTAAAATTGCCTCTCGAGCCAAAGGTGACGGTAGCAAATCCATGAATTGTAATGTTTTACTTTCGTCCTTATATGCATTAAGAAAAAAATAACTTGTTTCAAGAGAAAAATTTTTGAACGAAAGAACATGATTTTGAAGGATAAAATCACTATGATAAAAGTATGAAAATTCTTAAACCAAGTAAGATATATTTGAATAAAGAAAATCATTTCTTAGATCAAGAATTTTTCGACTTGATTTAAAAATATCTTACAATACTATTCAAGTAATTTTTTATAATTAATCTTTTATTTTATATTAATTTTTTACCTGTTTCAGATAGCGATTTATATGTCCCTTCTCCATTCTCAACGGTATAGTTTGCATTTATTAATTTTATACATTCGTTTTCCGCATTTAATTCACACAGTCTTTTAGTTGGTACTATTAGAATTAGATTATGAAAGATATGGTAAGAATTACGGATATAAATTCACTTTGCACATCCCAAACTTTTAAAGAAAAAAAAATAATTCAACTCCGCATTATAACAATTATGAGAATATTAATAATTTGTAAATGATTCACACGGTTAATCGTTATTTGAACTTTTTAAGTTTTGAACTAATTATTTGTTCTAAAATAAGCTTAAAACAGATTTAAAGAAATTAGTTGAAAAATATTTTTGTAGCAGCTATTATACGTATGCGAAGAATTTTATTATAAGAACTGAAGCAATAACTTTTCTAATAATTGAAAAGTAACTATGTAATAAATCATATTGGATATCCGATCAAAAGACTTAATTTAAAAACTGAAACTTCTTCTAAATTCTAATTAGAAATTAAATTAAAGTACAGATATTTTATAATTCGAATATTATAGTTTCAATTTGAGATGTACAATATTTTACTTTTAGTTTTCATCTTACTCTTACCTCCATTGATACCCGAAATCACTACAGTACTAAATAATACATATAATATCAATTTTACCCACTTAATAATCATTTTAACTATCTTTTCAATGCACTACTTTTTTTTTAACTAGACCAAAAAAACTACGCAAATTGTTTTTATACGTTTTATATATATTACAACAGCACTTACTAAGTGATTGATATCAACTTCTTGGTACCATTAAGGAGGGAATTTTTTCACATTAAATAAAATTACGATAAATTCCATAAGACCTTGATTTATCTTATCGGCTTAATGATTATAATTGATTTTTTCCATTATATCTATGTAGGTACAATGTTCAGAGGTAGGTCATAAAGTATAAAAACGCCTGAAGCGTCGAAAAAAATAACTCGACAAGACATTTTTTGTTTCAAATGTATTGTGAGTCTGTGGTTGTATGAAAAAAATTAATCATTCTTTAAATAGATATTATTAACGCTTAGAAGTTAATATATGATAGTAGATTGCGTGCTAAAGGAGCAAAGTAAAACATTACAAACTTCGTGTATAATTTAAATTGTCTGACAAAGCCGAAGACGAAGGCAGTAATTGGTCATAAAGAAAAACCTTATTGTTGATTTCTGAATTTATCAAAAAAATTTTTTTTAAAGATTTCCATTTCAAAGCTCAAATTTTCATTATTACTAGCCAGAAAATTTGAAAATTTCAAACGTCAAAAAATAATTTATTAATTTTCAGTGTTCATAAATAAAATAAAAAATCTTTCAGTACTAAGATAATTCACCAAAGATTAAGTTAGTAGAATTTTAAGTCGATTAACAGCCGGTCCCTATGATTGCAGCTTTACATTTCTCTTCTAGACAAAGAAGAATTTTGAAAAAAAAAAAAACGCTCTGCTAAGTAATAGATTTTTTAATTATCTATTTCGTAGCAGAGCGTTTTTTTCTTTAAATTATCATTTGTTTAAAAGGAAAACATAAAATTGCAGTAGCTTTATAATCATGAGTGCAACAAAGATAGTACCGTTTCTTGCAGTGATTGCGAGGCGAGAATAAGAGGGGATCCGCTGTTGTTCGGCAATTTGGAGTATTTTTAAAAAATTCAAAAAAATGAAAAAAAAGGGGTAAAAAAATGGATATTTTATGTCGATGCCATTTTGTAAATTTTTTTTTTTTTGGCTAAGGTCAACGCGATAGCGACATCTTTACAGATTGAGAATTTTTCAATTTTTTTTGCTTCATATCACTACAAGGGCTGGAATCATGTCAACCAGAGCGCACCGTTTTTTTTTGTAGCCCCCACTTCACCGGCCTGTAATTTGTCAAATTTATCATTTTTTTTTATATTCTTGAAATGACAATAAACATCATATAAAAAAACGGATAGTAAAAATGTTTTTCATTTTTTTTTTATGTTAGTTTGAAAAATGTCTAAAATTTAGGCTTCTAGACCAGAATACCCCCTTAAAAATTCAGTGTCCTGACTTTAGAATCTCATTTCAGCTTATTTCAATTCTTCTTAGTAGACGGAGGAAAATGTCCAATTTTTACAAAATTATTCCTTATTAGAAAGGAGATGTTAAAAGATTACCTTAATGTAAAAATTATATCTATTTAGTAATCAAATTAAATCTCTTCTTTTAATCAGGTTCATTCAACAAATAGTAAAAAATTACGATTTTTTTTAAGACTCTTAATAAATACTAAATACTCATAAAAATTATAAGTATTACATAATAATTTTTAAAGTCTTTAGTTTTGATAAACGCAAACAATAAATTATGTTTAGTTAATTAATTACACATTTTTAATCAATGCATATAAATTATACGAAAAGTTTTTGTAACAATCATTTTTTAAATCGCCCGTATTTTATTATTTTTTCTTCTTCTTCTTATTATTATTTTATTTACATATATAAACTCGAGCAGTTGAACTTGAAGCGCGAAACCCAAAATATATTTTTTCCATGTGCGCATATGTATGATTATGTCAATTATTTAATTTAATTTGAATACTAAGCTAACAAAGAAGATGATTATCATTTATGATCTGGCATTCAGTAAGAATTGTAATAATTATAAATACTTAATTTAATAACGTAACTTTTTTTTCCATCTATAATTAATGTGAAGAATATGTAATAACATTCTATTAATACGTATGGAGAGTTGAATTAAAAATTATTCCATAAAACAGTTGTTCATTTAAATTATGCAAAATTTCGTAATATTTTTAAATATTTTAACAACTGTTAATTACGTAAACATCGATTGCAAATGAATAAAAGTAACAATCGAAGTACAATTTTCGATTTTTTAAAATTAGGTAATGCACGTTTTTTTTATAGAAGAAAAATTTGAAAATTACTGATAACGACCGGTTGAAAATTTTTTGTTTGTACTAAAAAAAAAAAATTAAAATATTTTTACTTACGTTCATTTAAACACAAAGTTGCAAAAATGCTGAGAAGTAGAAAAATTTTGAAATCCATATGTCTCAATATTATCTTGGCTTATTTTTTAATTTACTTTTATCCGACTGTGTTCCAAAATATACTACCAAGATACTTGACTAACAGCTTAATATATCGACAATAAAATGATCATTAGCACGTCATAAATAATAACGATTTAGTTTCATTATTGAAATAATAATTAAGTGATCTTTGGAATTTGATGATAATTAATAAATTTCCACATAATCTAGTTTTGTCACTCATATAAAAGTAGAATATTAAAACACCGTAAGCTATACGATAGTAGGTTAAAAGTCATACATGACAATTGAACATTATCGAATTCGAGACCTTCCTAAACGATTTATATATATCAAAAAATAAATCCCTCCTTAAGTATCAATTATTGAGATTTCGAAATATCGAAATCTTACGCATTAATTAATATTATAAATGTGGGCTTTTTAGTTTCATTATTTTCAATTTTAAGCCTCAGCTTTGCAGAAAACTCTATTCTCTGAAAAAAATTTTTAAAATTAAATTTACATTAAATTTTTAAATCATATAAAGTTTTTTTTACTTATTAATAGCTTAGAATTGTTGATTCATAAATCGCGTAGGTGAACTATAATTATAAAAACTATTTAGCATTTTTTTTATTGGTGTATATGCTGAAGATTAAAAATAATGCATCAAGACCTCGAACTTTTGTTTGCTTCTTAATTTATCAGAATGAACCGAACAACAATACTTATAAAAATAAAAAATAAAGTAATAAAAAAATAGATTTTTTTCGGAACATAGATAACACGTGCTATCTACCTTATTGAGAAGTTAAATTGATTAAATTTGTTTTTGATGTTCAAACCAATTTTATTTTTAATGATTGAGTTTTTAACAAAAAGTTTTTTTAAATAATTGAGATTTTCAGGATTATTAAAATTTTACTAGGCAAACAGATAATATTTTTGATAAGGAAAAAAAATTAGCTAGTTTTTTTTATTAATATTTTATTTTTAATAATAAACAATATTCAAATAAAATTTACATTAATAAGTTGTATGCAAATGTTTTATTTTTGTTTAATGACGCTAAAAAATCAAAAGAATAATCTTTGGCAGACAAATTTTATGAATCGCGTTGGAAGTATATTGACAGGTAATATGACAATACCTAATAAACTGATATGTGAACAGAAAAATAAAGAGAAGTATGCTTTTGTCAAGTTTTGTACTGAAACCATTAATTGTTTGAACTTGTAAGTATGTTAATTGCATCTTAATTGTAAGTATTATATATTTACAAATATTTCTACCGATGGCCACATTTACACCTAATAAGTTAGAATAATTTGTCTATACATCGCTTTTGTCTAACATTGATATAGACTATTCCCAATCATAATTGACAATTTCATTATGACAATAAAACTTAAAAATATAACTGAAGCAATATAAATCTTATCAAGTTATTTTTTTCGTTTAGTTCTAACGATGACGAACAAAATTTTTTTATATTGACAAAAATTGTTACTTTAAAAAAATATTCAATTGATCCGTAATTTTTCCGTAAAAAGAATTATTTAAGTAACCACTGATCGATATAAATTTACCATATTTTTTTTTAATATATTCAAATTGATGTTAACTTTTAATCTTAAATTATTTAAGCATTTTTTCTCTGTCTTTTTTATTTTTAAAAATATTGCAAGAAATAAATTTTATCACGAAAGCTCTAAATGTTTCATCACTAAATTTGTCTTTCCAAATGAGTTTAATTAAATAAAAAGAAATTCAATTTTTAAAACACGGTAGTTAACTGGCCATCGTTTACCGAGTTTTTTTCTCTTAATAGCATATATTCACAGAAAAATTATAATTTTATGAATATTAGTAACTTATAAACTGCAGCAACTGTTGTAAATAACTCATGCTTAATATCATCGAGATATTCAGTTGAATTACTTTGCACCGATAAATTGACTTAAGATAATTAATTATTCACGATATTCCAATAAGTAGATTTTGTTTTCCTGTTATAAACGTTTTTTTTTTCTTTTCCTAAGAGAATTTCATCATCATCATCATTATTATATTTATTTATAACATTCGTTTCAATCATACTTATTCCAGCGCAATATTTCGCAGTACATATTTAACAGTATAAGCAAATGCAGCAAACCCTACAATAACCGCTAAATTCGTTAATGCGCTATGAATAGGACTTTGTTCTCTATTTAATTGATTACGAATTAACGAAGATACTTCAGATGTTGTCGACTGATGTCTTGTTTGTAACTCTCGTTCTTTCCGGCTTTCCAGTTCGCTTTTAATCTCCTAAAAAGAGAATATATTTATTTATAAATAATTCAAAAATCGGATTTACATAAATAAGTTAAAAAAATATTTAAAGTGTTTAAATAAATTTCATTTAGTCGTGTCAAATCATGTTTGAAAGTTTAATAAATTTCCAACTATTAAAACTACAAAAATAATTTTATTTTATAACTATAGATTAGTATCTCTTAAATAGCCTCAAGTAAAATGTCGATGAACAGGAATCCGAACAATTCATACTTAAACCGAATGATTGAACCAATAACTTTACGATATGTATGTAAGGAAAATATAATATCATATTCTATTAAAGTTTATCATGTCTACTAATGAGATTATAGAATATAATTATCGAAAAATATTTATTTAACTTTTAAAAGTTTAGAGAAATAATTGGAATGAAAAATTCCAATTATTTCGATTTTTATACGTACATGTTATTTTACATCGTTATAGATTTTATTTAATATTATATCTATATCAATTGAGCCTCAATATTATTAATTAACTATGTACGTCATAGCAATTGATGATTCATCAAACTATTTTTAATTCTTAAATTCATCAAAAAGACAAGATTAATTTTTCAATTAACGTCACGAAATAATTTATAGTATCCACTTTCCAATTAAGTCCAAATCTTATTAATTAATGAATTGTGACACCGTTTGAATAGATATTTTAAAGATTATAAAATATAACAGCTATGAGAATAATTTAATGAATTAATTATCTTTACTTACAGCAACTGTATCTGGAAATAGTTTACAAAACGTTTTATCTTTGAGATTAAACTCTAAACTCTGATATGCCCACTGTTTTTTTTCCCAATCAGTTGTGTTTATACTACCAAGCGTAGGGCTCTTTTCGATCTGTAATTAGATTTATATTGTTAAAAATAAAAATAGTTCCAGTGAATCATGATCCTTAAAGATAGCCCTTATAAAAAAAAAAAGATTTAAAACGATTCAACCCATGCAAAATGTATATCTAGATATTTGTCAAGCTGAATCGCTTTGAGCCATTTCGAATCATTTTAAATATTTTTTTTTTTTAATAAAGGAATAGCTTAAAAATGTATTGTGGATAAAAATGAAATTTTACCATAAAACTTAAAAGGCCTGTAAGAATAGTTGATACACTCCAAGCAGGATTCCATGTGTCAGGATGAAAATCAGATATTGACAAGCACAATCGCGTATTGACTTTGAATCGGCCGTTTGGTGTAGTCATATAAATACTTGGTGGTTGAAATGGAAATTCTCCGGGAAATACTAATTTACCATGATAATAACCTCCTTCGTATGGCGTATTTTCTGGACCTTTCACGACATAGTGCCTAAAAAATATTGATTATTATTGTTAGTATTAACAATATCATCACAATTTCTAGCAAAAAACTTTATGAAAATAAAGTTAGCCGACATCTAAAAATTTTTATGATTTTTTTTATTAAAAAATTATTACAAAAAAATAAAAAAAAAAATTATAATTTAATAAATTAAGTAAAATAAAAAAATCAAAAATGTCGGCTAACTTTATTATTGATATAAGACTTTGTTACCAAAAAATGAAACTATTTGAAGAATATCCAAAAATAAAAATAATTTTACATAAAAATTTAAAATAGTTTTTTGGTAGAAAAGTTTGTTGCATTTATAATGTCACTATAAAAACATAATGTTTAATACCATTCGAGAATATTTGAAGGAACTGGTTCAGCAACAACATAAGGTACAGGATCTTTTTTCAATCGCAAATAATCTTGTTTTAATCTGGACGTTGCAGTGATACTTTTTCTCGCCATTATGATTATTTATTAAAGACCCTAAAAAAAAGTGAAAAAAAATTAATCACCTTTTTTTCAATCACTCCGACTTGATTATATTGCTTATCACTAATTTTAACAATCAATTCAACTTAATTATTTTTACGCTCCATTATTATTACACAATAACACAATATGACACTAAATAATTAATAAATTTGCATATAATAATAATTAATAACAAATAATAATAAATAGACTATAAATTTTAGATAGTAATAAAAATATATGAAGTTAAAGGTTGTCTATTAGACTAAATAAACAGAAATATTTATCAAATAACACCTTGAAGAGTTAATACACCTGTGATGTTTGATAAATTATGTACTTATATACTTACATAAAGTACTAAAAATTATGTATTTATGAAATATATATTAATAAAACGATAATAGATTGAAATAGTTATAAATTGGTAAAATAATATATATTTGACAGAACGTTTTTATGTGACACACAAAACATATGACGATGAAATTATTCTGAGGTACATCTCCTGCCATCTACTGTTTAATAAACTAGTTATTAATTAATTTATTAATTAAAAAATTTTCTATTTTTTTTTTTAATAAATTATTAGATTTTTTTATATTAAATTATATTTCTTTAATATTAACATTTTTTATGAATGAAATAATTGCTTTTATTTAAAATTATGATTACTTACTTAATGGATAAATTTTTGAGATCTAAAATTAGTTTCTTAAAGTACCGAGTGAGTCGCTAGTGATTCAGAATAACAACAATGGCTGAAATGAAAGCGGTGATGGTGATACTTATCTAGAATTTAAGGTTTAGAAAAGTAGAATCGATCGTGTGCTGTGCGTCGTTATTGGAAACAAAATCAAACCACGCATTGAGCTGATTACATTATTTTTATTCTACACGACTATTGTGTCACTGTTATCTGTTTCAGTGAATACATCAACTGAGTAATAAAACTGTTTTTATATTTTACACATTGTTAAATATATTACAATGGCTGATTCTTCTTATGAAAAAGGACTGAGTGAACTTTCAAAAATGAAAGTAAGTATTATAAAATTTAAGATTGTAATATTAAATTAAATATGGAAGATATATATTGTTATTTTTAAATCAATTTGTTTTATTATTTAGGTCGCTGATTTAAAGGTAGAATTGAAACAAAGAGGGTTGCCGACAACGGGAAATAAAAATGAACTTGTTGAAAGGCTTCAGCTTGCTATTCATGGTGGTATGTTGATTATCATTAATTCGGTAAATTTTAAACACGTGCTTATATTAAATGTACTAACTGAGTTATTATTTATCATTTTAGATAGCGCATTATCACTGGATGAGAATGCAGAAGAAATTTTAGATGAAGATGCTGTACTTGAGGTTTGTAATAAAATATCATAATAATTATAATTACTACATTAATTCAACTAAAAAACTACAAAAAATAATTTTTTATTATTAAACATCATTTCAAAAACTTTAAAGTTTAATTTTTTTCAAATTAAATTTTTTATTATTAATTCAAAATAAAATAATAGCTATAATCTGTATTATTAAGAGAATAAGAAAAATTTTGTCTCTGATCCCAGAGTCATATAAAATCGGTTTTTTAAAGTGAAATTTAGTGTCATTGCAAAGGTCTTGACTTGAATTTGTGCCGAGACATTTTTAAAGATATAAGCTCACTCAGACATTACACTCATCGAGACCTTTCATTTGAGTACCCACATCAATTTTTCATATATTTGTATATATATTACATATATGTATATATGAAAAATATATCAAAATACATGTGGGTACTCAAATGAAAGCTCTTGATGAGTGTAACATCGCGATGAGCTTATATCTTTAAAAACGCCAATAGTTAAGAAAGTACAGTGCAATTTAACAGATATCTTGTGAATTACTGACATTTTTAAAGATATAAGCTCATCCTGATGTTACACTCATCGAGACCTTTCATTTGAGTACCCACATCGATTTTTCATATATTTTATATATTTACATATATGTATATATGAAAAATATATCAAAAATGCATGTGGGTACTCAAATGAAAGCTCTTGATGAGTGTAACATCGGAATGAGCTTATATCTTTAAAAACGTCAATAGTTAAGAAAGTACAGTGCAATTTAACGAAAAGTCATTATTTAATAAATTAATTTATTACAGGATGAAGAAATTGAAGAGTTGACTCCTGAAAAGCCAGATTCTCAAGAAGTCGGTGAAAAGAGAAAATTATCAACAGACGCCAATCCGGTATCAGCTAAAAAAATAGTTCTCAACCGTAATTCAGTTATTGAAGAAATAAAAGTTGATAAACCAAGTGATGAAGAGCCACCTAAATCTGTTGAGGCAGCTGAACCTCAAAAACGTGTTATTAAATTATCAGAAGTTGGAATAAAAGAGGTAAACTTACGATAAGCTTATTTATTATTGATACTAATATATGTAACTTAATGCGAATGTTTTCCAATTACATTATCGTAATAGGAGCTTATCTGGATTGTTTACAAACACAACAAACGTCATTTTATAGTTCAACTCGTTTTTTAAATTTAAACACAACTGCATGATACTTAACTATTATCAGATTAAGTTGTTAAAAAAGTTTGTTTAATTTTTCAGCGGTTGGAAATGAGAGCTAAAAAGTTTGGTGTACCATTATCTGAGTCAGCGAAAAAAGAAGCCAGGTCAGCTAGGTTTAATAGTAGTAATCAAAGCGATAAATCCGCAGCATCTATTAAAATACCTGTTGTAAGTATTAATATAAACTTTACTGTTTAGTCATTAAAATAAGTATGTACACATAAATCTATATTATACAATTTTTAATTTTGCAGGAAACATCTGTTGAAACTCTGAAGAAACGCGCAGAAAGATTCGGAACAGTTTCAAATGTTGTGGAAAAGGTAATTTTGAATTATCAATAAAACTTTAATATAATATAAATAGAAATTATTTATATTTTAATGCTATTATTTTTTTTTTAGGTGGAACTTTTGGAAAAAATTGAAAAACGTAAAGCAAGATTCGGTGAAGTTGAAGTACAGTCCATTAAGAAACCTACCTTTGTTAATAGAGTTAAATATGTTAAATGATATCACTTATCATACATAAATATATCAAAACCTATTATTTAATTTACACATCTAGCCTTGGATATTTCATTTATTTTTTTTTCTTTATTAAAATTAAATGAGCTTATAATGGTTGACTTTTTTTATTTTTGTTTCAATTCTGACTGTTAATTGTTAACGCATGATTTAATTTAATTATACTTTACTCTAATTAAGTAGCGTAGAATCGAAAGATAGCATTTTTGTAATTTTCTTTTTTTTATTTAGGTGGAATAAATTTACACAAAACTTTGAAATTTAAATATCTTGAACAAAAAATTGATATTTTCATTTAAAAATAGTAAAATTTAGTTGTTACATATACAACACAGTTAAAAAGATTAGTCTTTTAATTTTAAGCTCCTTAATTAGAGTTTATGAAAAAATTAATGAGTATTTTAAAATCAAAATATTGAATGAATTACTATTATTGAAAAAAAATTTTTTTTCAAAATAATTACCTCAATGACCTGAGTAAAGATATTTTTTTAATTTGTATTATTTTTGTATAATTTTTAAAACAAATTATTAAAATAAAAGACAAGAAAACAAAATAATGTATTATATATTATGTATATTTTTAATTATTATTATTAATAAAAAAAAAAAGTAGCAGTTGGTCTACTGATAAAATAAATTGCCATGAAAATAAGTTAATTTTTTTAATTAATTAATATTAATGATAATTGCCGACATAATTTGTTATACAATAAATTTAATTTAATTGTAGTATTATTTAACTTAAAACTGTATAATATAAAAAATCTAATTCAAGACATTATCACAATTTCACTTGTCTTGAAACAGGATACAAAAAATTTTATTACTTTTTTCTATTAAACGAAAATAACACAGAAATTTTTTATTTTTTTTATCAGTAAGTTATTATTTAATATCATAACTTTAATAATATTATATAGAGGCAGTTTTATAAATTTACAATTCATTTTCACCGAGAGATACCTTTGAATATACTCTATGGGTATATTCTTTGAACTTTAGGTGTCGTATGGAATTTTTCACACTTGTGCCGATATAATTATTATAGTAATTAATTAAAAAATAAAATATTTTAAACCATAATATTATAGTTGATAATTTAAAACTTTCAATGAATTCATTGTTTGATAAACGACTAATAAATAATTTGTTTCTTCTTTTTTTCATTTTATTACGAAGACTCGTTAAATTTTTTTCCAGATACATCAATTAGTTAAATACTGACAATTAATTTTTAAAATAAATGACCCCACCTTATAGCGGACATTATAAAAAAAATATTTTTCTTTTCGGAATCATATAATTGATTAATAATTATCACAGAAAATCAGTTTAAAAATATTTTCCTTTTTTTAGTAAACGAATCTTGTTTAAAAGATTAAAAAAAAATGTGAAAAAGACAAAAAATTATTTTTTATAATAAATCAGACTCTAAATTATTAATCATTAATTTGTTATCATTTCTATATTCAGCGTTTTAACAAAATCTTACTTAAAACTAATAAAAATATTTATACGAAGCGTGATTTGTGTTTTTATAGAACATAAGTCTTTCAGTTATTTAATAAATTGTCATGTGAATTTATATTAATCTTAACTATTATGACAAAAAAATTAAAAATAATAATAATAAAATTAAAACACTCTCTTTCACTTTTACAATTCCATCAGCATTTGCACATATCCATGGACCGAAATATTATTCAATTATATTTTAAATCACAATTTAACTATATATTTAGCAATTTTTATAATGAAATTTGATTCACTAAATTAATTTTTAAAAATTGCACTCTGGTGCACTATCAATATTATCAATAATAATAATAATAATAATATTAATAATAGTTGTATCGCATTCAATAACAGGCTTCTGCAAATATTTTAAATAAATTTTATATTATGTAGAAAGCTATGCAACATTGTAACAACAATGATAAACTTTGTAATAACCCGAATATTATATAGTAGTATATTTTATTTAATTAATGCGAGTCAATTATTGTAAATTGTCACATTTATATATTTTATAAAAAAAAATAAAATAAACATTTCCTTTGTTTATTATTTCATTTTTTTTTTTTTTTTCAATAATTTTCAATCTATGTTTTTCTAATGACTAACAATTCTAGGCCTAAGATTGCATTTAATAATCAAGAAGAAAATAAAAACATTCGAGTATAGACATATAATTATTACTGTTGTCGTCAGAGCCTGTTGTTTTTTTTTTTTGTATTAATATTTATACAAATAAATTGCAAATATATTCTCTAATAACTACTTGGGTCTTAAACTGGTGACAGGAGTTGGAAGTGTGAAATTATTTGTCGTTGTTAAGGTCGGTGTTTGAACAAACGATGAATTTTCATTCAAACTTCCGCCTACGGAGTTTATTTCACTTTTATAACGTATATTTGTGTATTCACGGCCAAATTGAAGAGATTTCTATAATAATAATAATAATAATAATAATAATAAATGAATATTTTTATTTAAATATGTTTATACTTTTGAATTAAGATGGTTATCAAAGAATAAATTAAAGAACCATTTTAATAAATAGACAAACAATACTAATGATATAATAACAAACCTGTTCTGCTTGTCTTCTTTGTGTTGCAGTCTCAATATAATGTAGTACAGCGAGGTAAACAAATTTATACTGTGCTTCTGTTTGTACCATTCCAGAACGTTGAGATCTAACTCGTTGAATTGTACGCTGAATATCTATTTCACAATCCAAACCTAAACAACAAATTTAACAATTACAATTAATATTCTTAAAATTAAATTACTGACTTAAATAATAGTTATCATCGTTAATTATTCATACCATGTTGTTTAATTTGATCTAGAATCATATCAATTACGATAAATGTCCCAGTTCGCCCAATACCCGCGCTACAGTGAACGAGAATAGGTCCAACAGTTGCAGGCGTTTGTCCGTTTGAATTTAACGACGCAGAAATTGAATCTTGTCGCGCATTAACATCATGAAGGAAATTTAACACACAACCTGGGTCTGAAGGTACGCCATGATCAGGCCACGCCTGTAAATTAAATTAACTATAAATAAAAACTAACAAATTACATTTATTTAATTATTGAATTATTTAAAATATAAGATTATTATTTAACCTGAAAATGATAATGATAAATTCTCCTAGGCTCTGAGAAATTAGGTTTATTTCCTTGTAAAAGAAATTCACGCAGCGTGTAGTCGGCTGTTGATGTACGTGCGAGCGCACGAACTTTCCATTCATTACCGTATTCAGCAACTTCACCTTCTTCCGGCCAGTATCTAGCACACTTGTTCTATAAAGTAACAAAAAAAAAAAATAATAATAAGACCATAATATAATAATACGATTAAAATTCATTTGTTTAATTATTTAAAAAAAATATGTCAAAATGTTTTCTTTTAAAATAATTTATTATTATATTTAATATGTTGTAATTATGTTTAAATATGTATTCCTTCTGGTTCTATGTACAGGTGTGTACCACCTCTATAGAATTACTACCAGAAGTAAAAAGATAAATAAATAAATAAAATTTATTAGATTTAAGAGAAAAATGTAAAAGAGTTTATTAACATCAAACTGTACAACTGGTACTAATATATAAATAAAATAAATTAATTAAAAAATTACAGTACCTTTCCTCGTTCCATTTCTTTGGTGGTCATTACAATAACTTGAGTATTCTCTTGATAAACCATGTGCCAAAAGTCTTGAATCGTATTAGGAAGACAGCCTTGAGTAGCAATATAACATTTATTGAATGCCGAAGAGTCATTACTGGCCACAGCACCGGTCCCTGAACCCTCTCGTTCTTCATTCTGTTGTAAAATTATTACAAAATTTAATAAAATAACTTGTGTCATTTAAGTGTAAAATAACGACTTTGCTTTGCTTACCTTGATATAATTAGCATTAATATAATCCGCACCGGGAACATTTGGATCTACATCTTTAAGCTTCACTCTCGTATGATCAACTAAAAAAAAAATTATCGTAAATAAAGTAGATAAATAAAAAAAAAAAAATTATTAATAATAATTGAATAAAATAAAAAATCTTACAAGGTAAAATATTTTTATAACGATTTTTTGCACGATTCTCCGGCCTTAGTCCTTCTTTGCGTGAGAATAGATGACGGCATTCAAGTTGTTGAAGAGATTCAAATTCTTCCCAGAATCCAGCTTTACCTTTGCCACGTCCCGAACCAGATTCATCAATTCCCGGTGCGCCGTTCCAACTCGCCCAACCGTTTGACGAACCATTTTCTTTATGTAATTGTCTTACGCGGCTTTCAATTCCACTAGCGTTTATCCGAGTTGCGTTAAACGGTTGTCTAAAAGAGTATCAACAAACTCGGATCAAAAATTGAATTCGATTAATTTTTTTCATCACATATCTCATTAAAATAATAGCTGTAATACCGTAAATGAACGACACTGCCACTTGTTTCAACCATCGGGTTTCTTTTATAATGCTCAATGAGGTCACTTAAGCTATCAAATTTTTCACCACCGCCGACATCGTATTTATTATCCTTAACAATAAAATATGATTTAATATAAAAATTATTTTTAATTAATACAAATTATGTGCAAGTAAAATCTCACTTTTTTGATACTAACTATGAATTAAAAAAAATAATTTACTCGTGAAAGCGTAAAATGTCTATCTTGCTTGCGCATAAATAAAAAAAATTAGATGTGAGTATAAAAAAAAATTACCTGATAGCGGATCATCACATGTGTAACCCGATCATCTGTACGTACAGACAATACAAAATCTCCGGGTTTACTTTGAGACTCTCGTACCAAAAAAGATCCATTTTTACCACGTTCAAGCATCAACCTCTCAGCCTCTTTAGCCGACAAGTGCCCATGGAACCACCTTTCTGTGGTAGGATCAGCACAATTCAATGGATACTTTAGTTCTATTACCTCACCATTTTTTTCACGCAGCTGTCCCCCATTTTCCATATAATACTGCACGAGTTCTGACAGCGTTGCAAATTTTTCACCACCATACAAATCGTAAAAATCACCAGTGTTTTGAATTTTAATGTGAGTTACTTCGCTATTTCTTCTATATTAAATCAAGGGTAATATTATTATCATCATCATTAAAAATAAATATTAATTAACTGAATAAATAATTAATATTTAAACTACCTTACTGAGAGAGTAAAATCCCCAGGATTGGAAGAGCTTGGACGTGCAAGAAATGAACTGTCATAGCCTCGTTCCATCAATAAACGTTCGGCCTCTAATCCTGATATGTTGGGATGAAACCATCTGCAAAGTAATTAACAATAATCAATACGACTGAAGTAAACAAAGAATATCAATTAAACGAAAAAAAAAAAAAAAAGTATAATAAAGGAAGAGGAAGAGGAACAATAAAATATAAGCATTGTAATAGTTAAATAGCTAGACTTTTTAAATAAACGACAAAAGCTCGCTGTCTGCCGCGCCCTGTACTCTCATTCTCATGTGGTACATGTGAATTTTACTGTACACATATCGACAACTGACGTTATTTATCTCAAACATATTATTGATATTCTATAAATTACTTGCTAAATATTTTTATCAGCATTTAGCCACCTAATTAACACACAAAATAAAAATAATAATAATAAATAAAATAATGAAAAAGTATAACTGAGAAGTATCTAATATTTGACGTTTTACCGCACTTTAATTCCAAATTGATATTTTAAGTTAATAATATTTATAAAAATAAATATATCTGAACAGATAATAAGTATTATATTTTATGATAAATTAATGAGTGCGATGAAATGATTTTGTTCACATAATTACGCATAACTTACCGTTAATGACTAATCTCAACGATGATTATCAGCACCTTGCTAAATTATTCGCTGTCTGTGATGATATTATATATGATAATAATTATCATACACTTATATATTTATTTATTTATTATTATTATTTTTTTTTAGTTTATCAATTATTATAAATAAGTTAGTATTATTACAATATTTTGTTTTATAAGTAGAAAAACTTTTCTCACCTGCGAGATGCCATGTCGTGATTATAATTACGACCACCTGGCAATCAATAATTTGTAATATCTCATCAGAGATTTTTTTCGCTTTATATATCTATATATCTATCTATATACCTACATGTATGTGAGTGTATATGAATACATATATATATATACAATATACTTATGCTATATATACATATACTTATATGTTCATATATGTTTTACACATATGTATGTATATATATTAATTATTATTAATCTAAAACTTAATTATAACAGATAAAATATATTATTTATTAAAATTTTATTAAACAAAAAGTGTCACTGATTTAAAATTAAAAAAAAATTTTATTTTTCAATTTTTTTTTATAATAAACTTATTAATAATATTTAATTATACTTGTTACTGTATGTACAAGCGGCAATGCGAAATGCTGCTAAAAAATTTCACCAAAACGACAGATACAGAATTGGCTGGGTGCGAAGTATATGGTGGGGAGGGCTGGCGCTGACTACCACTGTACCACTTTTACGTGTAAATCTTATGAGAAGAGCATGATTTAACGCTAATGGCGACCACTGGAACTAAATTACTCCGTTTGATTTAACATAGAAAAAGCATGAAAAATGAGGGCAGCACCATCGTGCACCTGGCCAATACGAGAAATGATCAACTAAATCCACTGATTGTTGAAATAATAAGAACAGTAACGTTCATTAAATTTGAAAATAATTTATTTAAAAATCGAACGATGGCGCCACTTGTTTTTTCTGCAAAAAAAAAACAAATTTTTTTTTTTTTTAAATAAACCACCAGTTTCTTCTTAACCGACTTCATTGTTGTGGGTGTTTTTTATATTGACAATGAAATCTTTTTCGAGTAGTGAGCTAAAAAATTTAATCATTTTTGTAATGATTACAACTGTGTCATTGTTATAAATTATTGCCTAGATAAATTAACAAGTAAACTAGATAATTAATGATGGATAATAATATGACTGCTGAATGTTTGACGTTAGATTTTGGACCTTTTGAAACGGTTCATCGTTGGCAGCGTATGCCTGAGTGTGATGAATTTGTTGGAGCTAGGTAAAGTTATTAAAAACCCTTATTAAAAGAAAAGATTTAAAACGATTTAACCCAACAACATTCAAGTTAGCAGTCACTTAACAATTTTTCAATTTTTTTTTTAACAAATTTGTTCAAAAAAATTATTTTTAAAAATTTGCATTTTTTATTTGTAAAATTTCTACGTGTCAATTTTTTTTTGCCATAATTTATTTGTTATAAAATTTTTAAAATTATTAAATATATGCTAAATTAATTTTCATTTTAACCCATGCAAAATGTATATCAATATATATTTGTCAAGTTGAATCGTTTTTAATCTTTTTTTTTTTTAATAAGGGAAATATAATTAATCATTTAAAACTAAATTCAAATGACTTACAGGCGCAGCAAGCATACAGTAGCTGCCTACAAGGATGCAATCTATGTATTTGGTGGTGACAATGGTAAAAGAATGTTGAACGATTTGCTGCGGTTTGATGTAAAAGAAAAATCATGGGGACGGGCTGTTGTAACTGGAAGTCCTCCAGCTCCAAGGTACCATCACTCGGCGGTTGTTCATGACTCATCAATGTTCGTATTCGGTGGATACACCGGTGACATTCACTCAAACTCTAACTTGACAAATAAAAATGACTTGTTTGAGTATAAATTCCAAACAGGCCAGTGGACGGAGTGGAAATTTATTGGTAAAACTCCAGTAGCAAGATCAGCACACGGCGCGGCTGTTTATGACAATAAGTTGTGGATATTCGCTGGATACGACGGAAATGCTCGGCTTAATGACATGTGGACAATATCACTGTTACCTGGAGAACTAAGAATTTGGGAACCGGTTGTACAGTCTGGTGATTATCCGCCTACATGCTGTAATTTTCCCGTTGCAGTAGCACGAGAATCAATGTTTGTATTCAGCGGACAGAGTGGCGCTAAAATAACAAACAGTCTGTTTCAATTTCATTTTAGAGACAGACGGTGGACTCGTATATCTACTGAGCATATATTACGTGGAGCACCACCACCACCTGCAAGACGTTACGGCCACACAATGGTAAGTTTTGATCGTCATTTGTATGTATTTGGTGGTGCTGCTGATTCGACATTGCCTAATGACCTTCATTGTTATGATTTGGACACACAAACTTGGAGTATTGTAATTCCCTCGAGCGACAGCGAAATTCCATCTGGGAGATTGTTTCACGCTGCGGCTGTTATTGGTGAAGCTATGTTTATATTTGGAGGCACTGTTGACAATAATGTACGCTCTGGTGAGACTTACCGCTTTCAATTTTCATCTTATCCTAAGTGCACTCTACACGATGACTTTGGAAGACTGTTAAGTTCCAGGCAATTTTGTGATGTTGAATTTGTAGTTGGGAAAGACACTATGGAGAAGAAAATACCGGCCCACATTGCCATGGTAGCTGCAAGATCCCAATTTTTAAGTTTAAAAATTCGTGAAGCGAGAAAAAAATTAGCTGCTGCAGCTGCCGCTGCTAAAATTGCTGAACAAGATAAAGATAAAGAAGACAAAAAAAATACGGGGGCTAAAGAATTATCATCATCTTCGTCAGTAGCTTCATTATTGGAAGTAAGACTTGAAGATGCGGTGCCAGAAGCCTTTGAAATGGTTCTAAACTATATTTACACTGATCGTATCGACCCGACAAAGAGTATTAGAGATCAACACCAACAACAATCAGAGCAACAACAGCAGCAGACTAGTAACAGAATTGTTTTACTGATGATGGATGTTTACAGACTCGCATTTGAGTTCAATATGACGAGATTGGAACAGTTGTGTGTTCATTATCTTGAAGCTACTGTCAATCATACTAATGTTTTAGAGGCACTACATAATGCTGCTCATCTTAAATTGTATTTTATTAAGGAATTTTGTTTGAGTTTTGTTGTCAAGGACAGCAATTATAATCAAATTGTTATGAGTCACGAATTCGAGACACTAGATCAACCACTGATGGTAGAAATAATTCGCCGTAGACAAATTCCGCAAACAACGCGGATTTATTCAAAGCAATACGAGCTGGGTACTGGTACAACGTTGGAACAGGATATGGAAAAATTTTTAAAAAACGGTAAAGAATTTTGTGACATAACTTTGATGCTACGTGGTGATCCTTATTCAGCTCACAAAGCTATTTTAGCGGCGCGTTGCAGCTATTTCGAAGGAATGTTCCGTTCTTTCATGCCTAAAAATAACACTGTTAACATACAAATTGGTGAAATGATACCGTCGACAGAATCATTTGTATCGTTAATGAGATATATTTACTACGCTGATGTCTCGATGCCGCCAGAAGATTCTCTTTATCTTTTTACTGCTCCAGTATTTTATGGATTTACTAATAATCGGTTGCAGGCATTTTGTAAACAAAATTTAGAAATGAATGTCACTGTAGACAACGTTATACCCATATTAGAAGCTGCTGATAGAATGCAAGCTAGTGATATGAAAAAATATGCTCTCAATATTATAGTTCATAATTTTAGTAAGGTAAGAATTTTCGATAATACTTTGTTATTGATTGACAAGTTTTTTTTTATTCAAATGCTACTTATTATTATCATCTTTTTTTTAGGTCGCGCGATTACCACGAGTTCGGCAGATAAGCCGTGAATTACTTCTTGACATCTTTGATGCGCTGGCTGACGAACGAAGTGAAGCTCGAACTTGTCAAGATATCATGCAGTCAAGTGATTGCTGACAGGCTGTGATAGTAATTAATTTACGGATAAATCCTGAAAAATATACGCTTATAATTCCTATTTTTCAATGTAAGTATAAAAATAAAAAATAATTTTTTTTTTTTATTGACAAATTATAATTACGGTGATATTTTACAATATACTCAACAAAGTATGGTACTACTCAGTACAATTTTTATGAACTAAGTTACTAAATTGCACACCTCATAAGCGAAGCGTTGAGGTAGTGCTCTACTCTTAACATTTAAAAAAAAAAAAAAACAGTTTTCTCGAAACTGAAATTAATTTTTTTTTTATTTATGTTGCACTTACAGTTTAATCTGAGTGTACTAATATCAAGTCAAATAATTTGTCAGGCACATAAAATTTATTTCAATAACAATTATTTTGTTTAACATAGTAAATAATAACATTAAAAAAAAATTTTTTCTGAACGTCTGTGTGTCTGTGTTTATGGACGAAAAAATAATCGTACCGAAATAATTTTTTTTTTTATTATCGAAAGTAACACAAGACGGACTTTCTCAATTAATATGAGCGTTCACAATTCATTGTCGTTAAATTATTATTTATAAAAAACTAATATGTGACTGTGTATTTTTTTGTATATCTATCTATACATTTTATTATAGTATTTTTTTTCCTCACCTTAGAATTATGGCGCCGCTAAACCATAGCAAAGTTTTCTGTTTTTTATTATTTTGCTTTTCATATTTTATTTTAATCAATTTTATTATGAAAAATAAAATTATGAGGCGTGCACTTTTGGATTTTTTAAACTTTTTTATTTATAGTATTAATTTGAACTATGAAAGACTGTGCAATTTTATTGATGTATAGTAACATTTTTTGATTAGTTAAATGTGAGAGAAAAATATAGAATTCAAGTTTTTTTGAAAATTAATATTTATAAACTACCGAGTTATAATGCAGAAATAATTACATAGAAAATAAACTTGGAGCGGTTTTTATTTATTTTAGCTTTGTGTACAACTCTAATGATAAATTAGGACATGCGAAAAATATATGTTATCAAACTTAATATGTTTGTATACAATGTTTGTTATTAATCATTAGGTTTTTTTATATTCTACGAGTAATTTAAACAGTCTCAGTAACTCAACAGTGAAAGATGAATGAACTAAATAGTATATAAGCTCATTATATCAATAATTAAAACTTATATTAAAAATATAAAACAATTGAAAATAACAATTGTGTAATTTTACCAATAAATAATGTTGAGAATAAATCATTTTAATCAATAATTTAGTAATTTTAAATTAAAACATTTTTTTCAAAGTTAAAATTTTTTTTTAAATCTAAAAATCTAAATAGACATAAATGACAATAAAATATATCAAATGTAAAAATTCCATGCGAATAAATATTCTCTATAACGTGAGAGTTATTTCTCTACTCTACTAGAGTTAAATTGAATGTCATTTTGAAATAGACAAATATCCTTCATAACGTTTGACGTAACGTTTTTGTAAGAAATAAATTTATCTCTGATAGAATTATTACTGTCATATTTGAAAGTGTATTACATATGCTTATGCATTAGAAGCTATTTATTTAGTTAAAAGAAGTTAATATATAGATATAGAGAATATAATATAAATAATCTGCTTGAATAAAGAACCTTATTTTATATTATTATTCTTAAAATAATCATAAATTATTGATTCCCTAAATCGGCTAAAGAATACTGTAAAGGTTATTAGTAGAAAAAAAATACGACATTTGTTTTATAAATAACGAATTATTTATTAATATTTTGTTAATTATAATTTTCCTTAGATGTACAATTAGGCCTTATTGTGTTTTATTGATATTGATTTTTAAATATAATTCTAAATTTTAGCTTGATACAAGCAACAAACAATAGCAATCAAAATAATAACTTTTTTATGTACTAGCAAAAAGAATGTAATAAAAAAAATTTATTTGAATAATGCAGAAAAAAGAAATAAAGAAAAGACAACAATAGGAGCATAAAATGCGCTACAAAATAAAGCTTCGTCCCTAATTTTTATTGACATAGTAATTTCAATAATATTGTTTGTTTATTTGTTTTTTTTTTGTTATTTTTTTTTCAGTCTATTAATCACAAATAATTATTGATAATTTATTAAATATTTATTTATAGATAATTTTAAGTATCCCACAAAAAAATTAACAAACAATAATTATTTTTGATCCAATTTCGTGGGATATATGGACTAATAATCAATCAAAAATATTACTACTAATTATTTACATTTTTGAGAATCATACTTTTGTCTAATTAATACAATATATTGTTCGTATAATATAAAATTTACGAAACAATCGTATTTTACATTTCTCTAAAAGTCAAAATATCACCCCTAATTACACAATCGTCATATTTTTATTTTAATAATATATATATATATATATATATTAATTTAAAGTTATTCTACAAACTTTCTTAAAGCATTTATTATTTTTTAATTATTTATTACAATCTAGTAGGCCAGTTGTTTTGCTTAAAAATCTAGAAAAAAAAAATTTTTTTATGATATTAATCACAATTTATCACGCTTATATATTTACACATAAGCGCGCGTAGGTTGCACTGCAACAGTTAACAAAACAAATAATATTTTTTTTTTATCAATATGTAAATTTAAATGCTTATCTTATTAACAAGCATATTTTTTAATAACAATTAATAAAGTAAAAAAAAATAACAATGATAATAATAATAGTAATAATAATAATAATAATAACAACAATAATAATTTTTATAGTCTTCAATATAAACTTGACAATTTATGTTGATTTTAAGTGGCCCCTATCTGAAAATACAAAATTATTTAATTATAATAATTATTTTTTGAATTATATTGTGTTTAATGACATAAGTTAAAGTCGCGTTTATCTTAAATCTATATACATTAGGGTGGCGCAAAAAAACCGACTATTTTGTTTTTTTTAAGTCTGTAGTCAAAAAATGTTAGTTTTTGATGTTTTAAGAGCTCTCTCCAAAGGACAGCTTAAAAAAAAATTTTTAAGAGGTCGCTCCAAATTTTTTAAAATTTTAAAAATCGTCAAAAATCGAATTTTTTTTTTTAAATTTTTTTTCTCGTTACGTCATAATTTTATAAACCAAAAAAAAAGGTTTTCCTGAAAGTTTCAGTTCAAAATGTGAATTTTAAAAGGTCGCTCATAATTTTTTTTTAATTTATTAGTGACCATTTAATTGGATTAGCAGTTTTTGAGTCTGAAATTTAAAAAAAATTATGAGCGACCTTTCAAAATTTAAATTTTGAATTGAAACTTTTAGGAACTTATTTTTTTTTGGTCTATAAAATTATGACGTAACGAGAAAAAAAATTAAAATCGAAAAAAATTTAGATTTTTGAAATTCAAAAAAATTTGAAGCGATCTCTTAAAAATTTTTTTTTGAGCTGTTCTTTGGAGAGGGCTCTTAAGACATCAAAAACTGACTTTTTTTCACTCGAGACTCAAAAAAAAAAAAAAAAATAGTCGGTTTTTTTGCGCCACCCTATACATCTATAATATTGCACCGACGACTTTGGTAGAACTTGATGTCATTAATTGCAAAATATAATTTTACATATTATAATCTTACATGTGTGTACGAAAACAATTTAATCAAGAGTAAAAAAAAATGCCGCCGTTACAATGTAAAAAATAGCTTTTACTTGAAGTATGCGGTATCCCAAAACCGTCAAGCCTCTGATGAATGAGCTTTTTGCCCTTTCACACTCTCGGCTATAAAATAGCAATATCCTCTCAAAGGATAAAGACATTTCATCGATTTTCTTCGCTTCTATAATAAAAATAAATAAATAAAATAGAGTTATATTTATAGACGCATATAAAAAGAAAAAAACTGTAATGTCATTAAGTTATTAAGTTATAATAATAAAAGAACCTTTTTTCTTCTTTAACAGAACCACTATTGAATGAGGGTGTACGCTGAGCAGATTCCAATCTTCTGCGTCTCTCTTCAATCGCTTCGGTATCAAAACTTACGGTCGATTGTACAGGCACTGCTACAGACGCATTTACGTGCCTTGTTTTTATTAAAGGAGGATTCCGTGATTGAGGAATAGCAAACGCACGTCGTAATGCTCCGCGCGGTGGCGACGGAGGTGGGTATGAAATACCTACAACAAATGTAAATTATTATTTGTTATTCATTCATTTTTTTTATATTGATTGTTATATACATAGTAATATTGATAATAATAAAATAATAATTATAATCATAGTAATAAAAAAAAATAAGAATACAATAATAATCAATAATATTATTTAAACTGAACCTCTATGTCCTGGAGATAGTAGCGTATCCTTGCTCTTGGTAATTTGCGGAACGATTAGAAGTGAATTAGGTGGTGTTGGTGAAACTGTCGAAGTTTGTGGTGAAGTAGCAAGTGTTAAATTGGGTAGAGATTGGCCAAGGCATGAGTACGCAGGCACTTGAACGCTCAGAGTGTTTGGAGTTGGTGATTTACTCAACAGCGATCGTCTGTAATTATTTAAAAATAAAATATTTATTTTCATATTTTGTATTGAAAAAAAATTATTCGTATAAAATTTATTTATTCATTTTAATATTAAAGTTACTGCTAAACTATTTATATAAATTTTTCTAATAGTATTAGTTCAGTAAGAATTTTTATTTTTTTTACAGTAACTTTTAAATTTTTAATTTAAAAGTTTGATATAAAAAAAATTAAATTGATGATTAGCAGTCAGCGAGAGTACTGCCAGTATTTAATATAAAAATAGTTATTAAATATGCACCTAATTTGAAGCGGCCTGTGATTATGAGTTACGCCGAGTTCGCCACCTTCTTCTGATGAGATACTGGATCCGTGGGGTGGTTCATTAGTATCAACGCTGACATTCCTACTTTGATTATAACTTGGCAGAAAACTACTTCCACCAGGAGAAACACCTTCCATTTCTATACTTCCACTGTGAATTTAAAGAAATATTTAATAAGTGCATGAAAGTGTCTCAAAAAAAAATATAAAGAATCAGCAAATGATGTATATGCTAGTTCTCAATTTTATTTTCTCAAAAATCTTTCAATATAAATAAAAAAAAAATTTTTTTTTAATGCAAATACAATTTTTGTATCTAAAAAAAAAAAGTTTGGAAAATCCAAAAGTGCACGACTCATAACGCTCATTAAATTATGAAGTATTTTATTTTATTTCTTCTCTTTTGTATAAGCTACCAGTAACAGCGCACTTAGTTTTAAGTTATATATAGGAAATAAATAAATAAATTAACAAGACTACAATAATAAAAATAGTTGCCGAAATGAGGTGAAAAAAAAATTTTCGATCATAAAGCACTCTGTGATGCTTCGCGTCATGAGTCGTGCAAAATAAAAATTTCTCTCTGAGAAAATAAAACTGGTGATTGCATATACATATAAATATACTTGATTGTTTTTATATTTTACCTGTGACTATGTGCTAAACTGCTAACACGCGAAGCTCGACTGCTACCCCGGGGTGTTCTTGGTAGCATTTCATTGTCTTCCAATTCAAAGTCACCGTCTCCCAAATACGTGCTTGCTTGTCTGCTTACAATCGCCGTGGGCGGAATTTCACCGAGTGGTGGAATCTTCATTATTGCAAACTGTTGTTGAGATTTACGCAGAGATTCTATCCACGACTATTCCATTCAATGTAATATATAATATACATAGTTTGTTATCAAGTTTGTCGTTAGGTACAATGCGGTTAATTAAACAAGTTTAAATGCCAATTAATTGTGTATTATCTCTACATTTAAATAGTATAATTATCACTTATATTATGACTTATTATTCATAACTATTTAATAAAAGTAAACTATTTACCTTAGCAAGTTTAGGCTCGCTCGCGGATAAAATAAATGCTGCAGTGGCAACTCCGTATTCATTCAAATAAACTAACCCAAAACTGGAAGATTCCTTTAGTTCATGAATACGTAAGCGATCAACAACGTACGGTTGTCTTATTACTTTTAAATTGCCAGCAGCACCCCCGGAACTACCGCTGCTGGATGTTTTCTTCGTCGATGTTTTACACAGCAGTAGCATATCAGTCATGAGAAAAGCGTGAACCTCCGTCTGTAAAAAAAAATTAAAAAAAAAAAACAAAACGAATTAATTAAATAACAAACTTTTTAAATGATACTTATCATAATTCAATTTATAATTAAAAAATAACTAAATAGCATGGAATAAGGTTTATGTATAATTAAATTAAAGTTGTCTTACTTTACTCGTTGCTGAGTCTCGTAATTTAAAGTCACCTTCACGTAACAGTGTCCTCAGTGAATCTTTTGGACAGCCGGGCATTAGCGCAGATGTAATATCAAGATTACAGTACGATTTAACTAATTTCTCGAGCTCTTCGTCTCGAGTTTCCACAACATCATAACAATCTAACCGTGTTGCTGCGCTAGCTAATCTAGCGGTCTCTTCGGATCTCCGTAATGCAGCATTCACCGAAGCCACAAAATTATCAACGTATTTAATCTGAAAACAATTTCATTATTTATGATTATAATTATTATTGATAATTTTAAGAGACAGATATCTATTTTTAATCATTGATTACATGCCTTATTGGCCGGTCTAGTGATATAATATATTATTCAAAAGTAATGGGAATTATATTTTAGCAAAAAATTTACAATTGGTTTTGTCTCATTGATTTTTTATCTATTAAAATCTTATTAAAATTATTATTGAAATAAATTAGCTCAAAGCATAGAAAATTTTTTCTTCCTTTAATGCTAAAATTGTAGAATCTATTTTAAAATTTTCTAATATAAAAAAAAATGTAACCAATATTTTTGTAGATTTTTGTACTCAAATTTTATTAAATATTATTTTAAAATTCTATCTAGTAAAAAATTAATTATTATTTTTACCATTAAAGCTAATTCAGAGCGCTGCTCCTCATCTTCAGTATTTTTTAATACGGCCTTAAGAAGTAATGAATATTTAGTCAATCGCTGCATCGGTTTCACCAAAATATCTAAGAGCCTCAAACGATTGCAGTCTTTTTGAGTTTCACACCACTGAAAAAATAAAAAAATAATTATTTTCATAAAGTTTAAATTTATTAAAAAAAAATGTTGCAATTTTTGTAAAGTAATCTAACTATTTAAACTTTTCAAATTAAAAAACTTATTTACAAAAATATATATTTGTATTTATAACTTGTAAACATAACATAAATACTTGCCACTAAATAGGCCGTAAATAATTCGTTGTCATTAAGCCGATCACGACAATACTGCTGACACTTGCTTTGCTCGGAGCAGTATCTCGTGTAGGGCGCAAAAGTTTGTTCAAATATTTCAAAACCTTGAAGGAGATGGCCTGGATCGAGTGGGTTGCCGGTTGTTCGTGTAGCATTAACCATCCTCAATACATGTTCGCTCCAAAAGTAACGATTAGCTGTGTAGATATCGGGAATATTGCTAAACAGCTTCGTGCGGTCAACTTCTGTTAAAATATTCGAAGCCTGAAGACTACACAGACAAGCCATAAAAAGCTAGACAAAATAAAATATGTATATTACAAAAAGATTTATAAATAACTCAATATTAATTTTAAATAAGAAAAAAAAAATTAACTTACATCTGCCACGACTTTAAGAGTTTTTATATAAGCCAGCTCTGTTTGAGCCAGCTCCCAAAGTGCCGTTTGTTGCTGCTGCTGTTTCTCAGTCAAACAATCCCAACTCTCAACAATATCTCGCCAATCTTCTTCCAGTGAATAAATAAGTTCTGTTTATAAAATAATAAAATTAAAACCGAAGAAAGAATGAAGATATAAAAAGTATATTTCTGTTTGTTTTATTTTTATTTTATACTTTACTGGGATTATTAAAATTTTTTAATCAAACGGTAAATAAATTTGTCATACAACTTGCGCATTCAGAAAAGTTGAGTAGGTGAATATGGTTTTATATAAAAAGAAAAAAAAGGGAGGAAAAGAAAGTTATATTGCCGGTGTGTATATAAGGAGTACTTGAGAGACATGGATCGATTCACTCTTGACTGAGGAATCTTCCTATCGGACTTTACTTTGTCTAGTGGAATGAAACGTTGAATATAAATTGTATAAAAAAAATTAACCTTCCCTTCCTCCTTTCTTTATATATATTTATGGGTGATTCTCTGTAAGGATGTTTTTTGCTGTCCCAGGCATTGTTTTATTAGAAAAATTGTTATTTTGTTACTAAAAAAAATTTATTATGAAAGCAAAAAAACATTTCTATTTGGAGCATTGAAAATTGAAATGAAATAAATTTTGGTTTTTTTGCTATAAATTCGTAAACCACCAAAATGACAGTCCCCTGGGCTGTCCCACTCCCCAAATTAAAACTTTAAGATTAAATTTTAAGTTATTCGTTCATAATATATAATTTAGTCCACAATGTTTATAAACTTAATTAGTTAACTAACAATCTTCTTCAATGAAAAGTACCGAAAATTAATTTGTTTTATTAATTTCATCAAATCGAAGTCTATCCCAGGCATTTTAAGTACAGTCCCCTGCCAGAAGTTCAAAGCCAAAAATAAAAAAATCCAGCGTGTTATTTTACCTTTTGTAAAGTTTATAAGGATCTAACTAGCCTTAAGTTAATAACCATAGGGCTGTTAGCGCTTTATCGCCATTTTATTTAGTGTTAAAGCACCGTTTGTGCTGGAAATATGTGTCTGGGCCACTACAAAACTCAGTCCCCTGGCAACTATTTTTATATGTAATTTATTTATAAAAATGGATCTATAAGTCTTAATATTATTCTAATTAATGTAAACATTCATTGAGAACTTAAAAAACTGAATGCATTGAAATAGTTTGCTTGATTTTTCTCAATTTGATAAGAAAAAAAACAGTCCCCTGGCAACAGTCCCCTGTCATGTTACATGGCACAAGATACACAAATATCGAAAAAGCAAAAATTAATTCGGCTGTTTATTTATTATGATTAAGTTAATAGTTTTGTAGCCCTTGTTAATTTTTTTTCTAATAAAATGAAAAATAATTTAGTCGGACAACTTTGTATAGATTTAAGACGCCCTTACAGAGAATCACCCTTATATCTATCTAGTTTGAGCAAACTCAGACCTTGCTCATTTGCAATGAGATCGTATGGAAGCTGAATTTCTGGTAAACGTGATACGCCATATTTCGTATAACTATTAAGCTGCTCCACTAGCAATTCCATTTTGGTTCCTTTGGTGTTTGTGAAGAAACCGCTCCACCGTTGCTTGCTAGCTTTAAGACCCGCCGCTCCACTAGACACAGAACTGCTACCAGACGTGTTTTTCCCAGTTGTCAGCATACCTCCAGGTATCATCTCTGAATCCATACTAGAGTCCTCCGTGGATATGCTGAAAAAACGACCCCCGCGACCTCGATAGCTCTGAAATAATTTAAGAAGAAAATTTTTAAATAAATATTTGCTTCAACAATTGGAAATTAGAATAGGGTTAATTAAATCAGAGCAAACATTACGGCTTTGTTCTAGTCCTCTCTTTTTATATGTAAATTAATTCGTTAAAATAAACCTTTCAGGGCTTTTCTCATTCAATACATCACTAAGTCTCTTAAAAGCTTGACAACTATAGTTATAGTGTACACAAGGTTTGCAAATGTACCTATAAATATTTTGTAAGTGCCAACATGTGAAATTTAACTATTTACTTTAGGTGGATTTGTAGAAATTCAACTACTGCATTTGTTCTCACGGCGCAGTCGATAGTAATCTCTTTCAATAGAGTGGTTAAAAAAAAATTTGAAGAGTTTCGATTACTACTTTTTTTTTTAGTATTATGTAAATATTAATTGATGTTTTACATGGTGATCTGTAATGGTGATCTATATAAAAAATACTAAAATTGAATTAGATTTTTTGGTGCGACCAAGAATTTATATAAAACCGTGAAAATAAATGCAGTAGGAAATTTTTTAGAATTTTCATTGGAGAAAAGTGTAAAGATATAATTAAAGGTAATTTTATGAGCTTTCAGGTGAATTTTATAGGAGTTTGTACTTAAAATCATTTTAAAACTCATCGAACTTGACCTCAATAATCATTCAAAGAATGTGTATGCTAAGCTTCATTATCATATTAAATGTATGCTAATGAACTGAATTTCAAACACGGAAAAAAAAAAATTTATCAAACCAATTTTTTTTTTTTTTTGTTACAAGAATTAAAGTTTAAAGTAGTCAGTGAAATTTTAAAAAGTTAAAATTTTTCAATAAAACGAATTTTCAAGACAAGAAAATGTAAAATTATTTTTTTTCACTGCATTTTTAGCCAATCTGGATGAAATTTGGTAGTCATATTTATTGTGTGATTACTTTGAATAATTTCGGAAGAAAAAAATTACTGTGGAAATGTTATTCATTATAATTTTTTTAAAATTAGAAAATACGCATCGCTACGATGTTTTTTTTTTTCAAATTATATCCGAATAAAAAAAAAATGATTCATTGTTATTTTAAATTAAGTTAAGACTTTAAGAATTATTTTTAATAGTCTACTTATGGACTCTATATTCTTATTTTAATACCTTAATTTAACTCAACGATAAATAAAATAAGTTTTTTTATATAAAAATAATAATTTTTTTTTATAAAATTAAATAAAGACTTACTCCTCCAGCTTTGCGTAACGAAACATTTTGATTGCTTTTTTGGCTTGCTGTACGTGATGATGTTACTTTTTCGTCTTTGGCTGTAAAAAAATAAAAAAATTTTAATTAAAATACTAATAATTACATTTTGATATCGAATGTTGATTAATCAGGAATACACGAAATTATTCATCGAGCCTATATGTTGATGAGTATGTATAAATACAAATACGTCTGTACGGCTGTGCAATGTGTACTTGGTATCGTGCGTCATTGAAAGCCGAATAGAAGTAAAGTGTAAGTAAAGGGGATTGGAAGGGTAAAACAGAGGCTGAGTGTGAGGAAAGCATACATAGATAACGGAGAAGAGAAGTAAAGGGGAGAGCTAAAGCACGAAAGCATACCGATGTTTCACTCACTATACCCTAAAGTCCTTTCACCCTCTTAGAATATTCAACGTGAATCCTGTTCAAGCCTCTCACGATACAACTACAGCTAGAGCTTACCCTTCTCCGTTGTACTCTAGTTTATTCTCTTTTGTTGTGTGCTGAGAGGACAACTATTCTAACTTGTCACGTTTTTCAATATTTTTCACTCAACGGTTATAATAAATTACCGCACTGGCGAATAATGTAACTGTGAAATAATGTACAAGGTACTTTTTATAACTAATTGTAATTGTAACTAGTGATTTAATTAGCAACTGTATAATACAAAAAAATCAAATTAATTTTACTTTTATATGAGTAATTAGTCGATTTCATATAAATCTAACTATTGTATTGGTCTTCATGACGGAACTTTTGAAAAATTTTGCTATATATCGATTTAGCTCGTCAAGCAGATTCAGAAAATACATATGGTTAAAAAGCTCACATATATACTATATATGACAAATTTGTTCCAAAAAATTATTTAAAAAAATTGCATTTTTAATTTTTTTAAATTTCTAGATGTCAATTTTTTTTTCTAATTTTTTTGCCATAATTTATTTGTTACAAAAATTTAAAAATTATTAAATGTCGGCTAAATTAATTTTCATATATTATATTACCGGCTCTGTCTCTTCTATAACTTCCTTAATTCTGAACGGATTTCAATAAAACGTAACATACTCATTTTTCGAACGATTTCTGAGGTTAATTTCTAAGATGAGCCAAATCGCAAAAATTTTCACTTTTACCGTATTTTCGTGCAATAACAATTAACCGCAATATCATATTAGATTTCTGAAAATTACACGACTGCCCAATTTTAAAACACTGTAACTACAAAATTTTTATACCTGATTTTTAACTTCCCGCTAAAAATCTCAGATTTTCAAAAATCAGGAAGTTATTGTTTTCACCCCGTTTTGCAAAAATCGAGTTTTCATCAGATCTCGACGTTTTAAGGTCCTAGGAAGCTTCCCTGACTATTCCCGCGATGGTGTCCGTGCGGCTGTATGTGTGTGTGTGTGTGTGTGTGTGTCTATGTATGTAAACCTCTTATAACTTTTGAACGGCTTGGCCGATCGGATCGAAATTGGTGGCGATCCAAAGAGTATCATAGCCATTAAATTTCGTGAAAATTTGAATCGATTCGGTTCGCTAGATTTTTAGAAATCTCAAAAACAAAATTTTCGAAAAATCGTTTTTTTGGAATAACTTTTAAACGGCTTTACCCCGATCGATTCCAAAAACTAATCAGCTCTTAACCTTAAAAAACCACGTCGATCACCGTTGGACCGGTCAAAATCGGTTGATTCGTTCGTAAGATATCGAAAACGAAAAATTTCAAAAAAAATATTTTTTCAAAAAATCTCTTAAATGGCTTCACCAATCACTTCCAAAAACTAATCAGCTCTCAACCGTAAAAAAAAAACCACGTCGATTGCCGCCAATCCGGTCAAAATCGGTTGATTCGTTCAAGAGATATCGTGAACGAAAAAAAACCAAAAAAAGTGTTTTTTCGGAATTACTCTGAAATTTCTAGTTTAACCGATTGAAACTTAAGAATTCTTTATGAGGCTTAAAAAACTGCGTAGAATGCCACCAACCCGGTCAAAATCGGTTCATTCATTCAAAAGTTATTACGATTTGAAAATAAAAGAAATAGTGTTTTATCAAACTTCTATCAAACTTTTAAGCTCGAAGAGCTCGAAAGCATACAAAAGCTATTTTTTTGAGCTCGGAGAGCTCAAAATAATACATAAATTGTATTTATGAGCTCGAAGAGCTCGAAAACGTCAGAAGTGCAATTTCAAGCGTTAGGTATAGAATTGGCGGGAAGTTGCAGGGATGGCCTTCAGGGTCAACCGTATTCTTAATTTTTTTTTTTAGTATTGCTGCATTTTTTATAACTTTTAGACCTGAATTTTAAGTATTTTTTCTTAAAAATATTTATATTCAAGTATTTTTTGTTCATAAATCAAATTTTTTATCAATTAAGCGCGCAAATTTTTTTTAACAAGAGAAATTTTTAAAAATCTCAAAATTGTCAGTTTCTGTGTTTTGAAATTGAGCAGCCGTGCATCTGAAAGCTTATTTAATAAGCTTTAATTTGCATAATATAATTACATGAAAATTTTAAAAATATATATTCTTTTAAATGAAATAGTTTGGAAATTACAGAAATTTGAATTCTTCAAAATTCTTAAAAATTGGCACTTTTACTGTTTTTTTTGCAAAATAACTAATGAATGCGATAACTTGTAAAATGTTTGCAAATTCCATCTAAAAGCATATCAAATAAGCTTTAACTTGCATACCTCTCCATCAGTCTAGGCCAAAAATTAATCCGTTTGTCTATATTTAATGGAATTTTACTCTTGCATTCGTTTTAAAAATGATTATTTTAGTAGTTGTTGGATTAACTATAAAATCTACTTCCATTTCGGCTGCCGAATGGTCTTTTTTTTATAGATTGATTTTTTTTTCTGAAAACTGAGTGTTTATTTTGCGTGTAGACTGGTGAGTAAATAATTCGTCGAATTTAAATTTATGCTGACATTTTTTACACAAACTTCGGTCACAAAAATGTCTTTACAATCCAACTGACGAATTTAACTACTTTTAAGAATGTGACTGTACATCGATTGATACAAACCGATGAAAATTTGGATGAAAACAATCGGAAGGAATCTAATATGATAATCCACAAATTTATGGGAAATTTTTTTTAAAGGAATTCAGGCAGAAAATTTACTAGAAAAGTTGTGGGTGTGTAAATTTCCATGCAGACACCCACATAAGAAATTGATTTTAGAATTCTACATAAGAAAGTATATTGAAATTCATTCAGAAATACTCGGTGGAAAGGTATATAAAAATATCTATTGGATTCCGACATGCATTTTTGTTAGAGATACTAGTTATAAAAAAACTAGTCTTTTAATCCAATATTTTCATATGAAAATTGAGCTTATACCTAATAACATAATAACATAAACTAATATGTTGATTTTTTGAATTTTTAAAAAAACGTCTCTGTGAAGAAAATATTTATTTTTTAATTTTTCTTGATCAAAAAAAAAATAAATCTCATTTTCGAATAACTATCATAAAATTTTTGTTTTTTTTTCGAGGTAGAGAAAATACATTTATTGAACTAAGTAATTAAAATATTATTGGATGTAGAATATATTCCGAATAAATGATTTTTTTTTTAACAATTCCAAAATAGTGATAAAATCTATTTTAAAATTTAACTAACATATAATTAATAACTATGTGAGGATATCCGTGCAAGAATAAATAAATTATACATAAAACATAATTGGAGTTCCATTGATTGAAGGAGTATGAAGAAATGCAGTATAAGTTATAAGTAGTACAAGTATACAATGTCATGCGGCAGTTATATAAAGCGTAGGAATTATTTATAAGTGTATATTTGCTTATTGCACAGTTATTATTAATGATATGAACTATTAATGTACTGGTCGTTTCTTATGTAACAAAAAAGATGCGATAATAATAATAATAATAATAATAATAAAAAGTTAGAGTACTTACCAGTGACTCGTAAATGTCTACCTCCCAAGCACGATGTTTCGGTTGTATGAATTGGCAGAGGTGTAGAAAAAGCATCAAGAAACACGTCCACACGAGCCGGATCAATGCCTCGACGATCGCAAGCTGCGCCAAGAATTTCACTGAAATAAAAAACAAAATAAGTTTTATTTTTTATATTAAAAAACTAATGTTTTATTATGAATATTAGTATAATTCGTTTTTTTTTTGTAAGACACGTATAAAATTTTTAATTATCGTCTTTTATGAGACCATATTATTATACGGAATATATTCTGTAAGAGCAATTAAACGAGGAGTTATGGACAATCTTAAGGGGATACGATAATAAATCCTACGAGACACAACACACGTGGGAGAGTACGTTCACCTTTATAGCACAACCCTCCACATCCATACACATAAATAAATGAATATATGCGATAGTAATCATATTGCAAGGGTGTTTGCGATAAAATTTATCCCATAGAAGCGAATACAACATTTTTCTTTCTTTTTATTGCATTGTAAAATTTTAGAAAAGTTTTTTGATAGGTATCAATTTTTTAAAAAATAAAAATAATTTTTTTTGCACGGAAGGACTTACAGCGTCTTTATGAAAAAATTAATATCTATTAGAACAATTTAAATATAATCACTCCAAAAAGTTCCGAAATTATTGAACTCTTAATTAGTTTTTTAAAAATTACCAACAAACTAGCTAAGTAAATTTCATAAACTATCTGTCGTGGTGACACCCCTTTAAATTTAATTAATTTATAGAAACTTAAAAAAATTTTTTTAGAATTTACGATTATAGTAATTGAAAAGTTACCGATTTATAGAGACCGGAACTATGCGCCACACATTAATTTACAAGATAAAGTAATAAATTTATCACGATCTATACTCGTATATCAAAACGAATAAAATGGGGTTAATTGTAGTTATTAGTTACGGCAGAGAAACGAAGCGAACTTGCGGAGTATATATTGCGCGAGTGATTACACCCATTGACGAATCAACCACCATTAATTTTGACAGAACAGTATTTATTATAATTAATTATGTCAATACTAAAATATTAGGAATTAATTGATTATAACTATCAATTGTACGCTCACAATTGATTGCGCATTAACGGGAAATTTGAGGTTCCAAAGTAATTAATGAGTCCTATTATTTTCTCAGTGCAGTATCTAATCTAGCAATTAGATGAAAAATTATTTGGATCATTATTTATTAGGTGAAATTTGATCATTTGAAGGAGTAGTAATGCTAGATTGTATAGTAGTATCTGCATTTACCTGGTGATTATCGTATTTTGTGGAGTATGTTTCACGTAATGAGCGTAACTGGATATTGTAAACGGATATATAAGTATCATTTCCATTGATAAAATTTTCACCCATTAACTTTTTTTTTTTTTAATAGGGAATTAAAGTAACCATTACGTTTTTGACTAGCAAATAAATTAATTGTGGATTCAGTTAAAGGTCGCTGTCTTTTTACTGAGGTCTTCAAACCACTTGAGTACCTAAATTTAAATAATTAACAAATAATTTCAGAGCAAGAGACCTGAAATGAACAGTGAACTAGTGGCTTATAACGAGAAAAAACACACCCGAGAGAACAAAAAATTTGTTTTTACTCGCGCGGTGACTGAGTACGTTTGTAATTAAGGTAGTTCTGGTGCAAAATTGCTTTTCGACAGATTTTTTTACATCATTGGCTTAAAATAACGTTTACTCGTGAATCCCGTAAAATTATTGTTGTAAGCAATGTTACATTTACACGGAAAAATGTAAACTGTAATATTCACTCGGATTCCAGTTAATTTTTATAGTTTCAAACAGTAAAGCGGACATCGGGGTGGCAAAAATATAAATATTACAGAACTTAATGTAGAACGTATAAAAGACACAATTTATAATTTAATATTCAAAATAAGTGATTAGTTTCATCTTAAAAAATTACAGTTTCAAACAGTAAAAATTACCATTTCAATATATAGTCCATATTATGAGGAGAAGGGGTACTCAGATGAAAAAGAAGGGAGTCTCACTCTGAGAGAATTTAACATTTGAAACATTAAAAATTATACTTTTAAAATATACATTTTACCAGTCCAAGCAAGTCAATAATTACAGTTTGATTTTTAGCGTTGCGTTTAAAATTTACCATTTTACTTTGTAAATATTGACGGTGGTTGTATTAGAAATTTACTAACTTTTTTTTTATACTTTTTACATGTTATAAGATCATTTTTTAGGTACGAAATGATAAATATCAAAGTCTGAATTGTTAATTATTATACTTTAACATTTTAGACATTTACATAGCGAATATTACTGTTTGAAATAGTATTTTCTTCCATGTAAAGAGTAAATTGTAACGTTTAAATGGTAAATATTATAAAGTGAATAATAAAATCACGATTTTACTGTTTGAAATGGTAATTTTTAGCAGTTGATCATTACTTATTATAAATCGGATGTTATTTATTACAGTTTACTTTTTTCCGTGTATTTATTCATAGTTTGAGATAATTTTTAAATATTATGATCACAATCTTTGAAAAAATATAAAACAAAATTAAACACATTAAGAGAGATGAATATTCATAAAATTTAAAAAGAAAATTTTTTACTTTTTATATCGACGTTATTTACCACTAATTTGAATAATAATTATTAGAGGTAAAAAGCTGTCCGTATAACCATTATGTGCGAATAAAAAAAGTAATTTTTTTTGCTGTCGGCAAAAGTGACATACAGACAAAGAAGTTAAGAGCGACAAAGCATGAAATCATGAATGATGGGCATGGTTATTGAGTATTAGGACCTTTTGTTCATTATCATTATTATTTAAGTATACGAAAAATTTTATGATAAAATAAAATATTATTTTTATTTATAATCTATATCAAAATTCATTGAAATAGTGATAGATTGCTTTTCATTATACTACATTAAACTTATTGAAATTTATTCACGAGGAAATTTTATCACAATAGATAAAAAAAAGTTTTATAAATATGTCAGGCATTTATTTTTGAATTCCTCTAAACTGATAACCTGAAATAATTAAATCTCTAAAAATCAGATTATGCATCAAAATAATTAATAAAGTGGCTTTATTTATTATTATGATTATAATAATAATGATAATACTTTAGTAATTGAATGTGTGTGACGGAAGTTAAACCTAGTCCGTGCGTAATACATTTGAAACAATGAGACTTTAAATTTATTATTGTTTTATGTCTCTTCTGTTAATGCATTAATCTACTTTTATAAATTCCTGCCGTAGCGATGTTAATTGTTACACATTATTAAATGAACAATATGGATTAAGTCATGGCGAAATAAATAAACTGATGGTGTGAACACATTATTATGAATATAATTTAAAACACGGAATAGAAAATTAAAAATACAATTTAGACAATAATCTACTCAGTGTATTGTCGGATAAATTTAGTGTAAATTAATCACATTTGTTATGGAGATATAAACAAACATATATGCATGTAAATATGTTTAAACATGATACTGGCAGTGGAAATTAATTTTGAATGCTCGATTAGATGTAGTTTTATAAGTTTAGTAATTATGATAAATTTAACTGTTTAAAATCAGCGTGACGCACTAATAAAAGTATTAGAGACCACTTTTTAGTATTAAACAAATATTTCTTAGTATTTAAAACGATTTGTTTGTATTTAATAAATCTGATATTCATCATTTATTAAATACTAGCTGTTACTCGCCCGCTCTACTAGGCGCTTTATAGAATTGCATTTTTAGATCTAGATTTGAAATTTAATTAGAGTATTGTTTTGACTTGTACAGATTCCCAATTCTATCGAATTGATATGCACCTTTTATCCATGTAATTATTCTAGCTAATATTCATTGTAACTTTCAATGTGCAATCATTATAAAATTCCCGTGTATTTCTTACAAAAGTGAATAATAATTGATATGAAAAAATAAAATTTGTAATGAGCATTGAAAGTTTCAGTTAAAGAAATTGCAAGTCTCATAAGTGAAGAAATCTGCCTAGTATGTAAACATAACCAATAGAATTAAAAATTTTATTTTAAATAAATGATAATCGAATAAAATAAATTTAGTTACAATAAAAATTCATTATTTTTAAGTGAAAAAAATATAGGTTCCGGATAAGTAATCACAACCATATCATATTTTAAAACCCTTCCGAAACACACTGCATCTTATGGTATAAGTATTATTCCGATCGGTTCAGTAATTTTCACAGGAAACCGGACAAAAAAACCGGCTCTCCATTTATTAGCATAGATTAATAAATATTTTTAAATACTAAAAAATCTTTGTTGAGGACTAAAAAATGGCTCCTAATAAATGATTTGTTAAATATTAACAAATATTTTTAACTATAAACAAATCCTTCTATCAGTGCGGGTTTACGTTGGACATAGATTGACGGTGTTCATTCCCACGAGAATTTGGATAACATCGATCATTGAGTCTGGTTACATTCGTTGCTATTTAAATCGGTCACAGGGATTTACTCACAGCCCAAACGGAACGAGAAATGAAAAAAGAGATGTTCAATTTTAAAATATTACTGATTTTTTAAAATTGACATATCAATCCTTCAATTTATGCTTTTATAATTACTATCATGGAAAATAAATTGTATTGAGATCAACTTAAATCGGTTGACCACAACGTTTCATAGTAATTAATTTTAAAAAATTTGGTTGTAAACAGTTGGGCAGAATGACGCAACAAGAGAAAAAAAATGTGAGAGAATAAAATAGTCAAAAAATTGTTGACGGCAAATCTATTAGGATCATTTTTAAAAATTTGAAATAATTGTTAATGAACTTTTGATCGAGATTATTTGTACTCTATCATTTGATTATTATAATTATTATTATTAGATTACTACTGTTAAATGAAAATATCCGAAAATGGTTCAGGTAAAGTACTTTTTAAACATAATGTATTACTTTATTAATAATTGAAAACAATTTGTAATGCCCGGGGCTAGAATAAATTATACAAAGTTCTTTTGTTAAATAATTCTGTCTACCAAACAACTGTAAATGTTTACATATAAATTTCAATTGCACGAATACTAAATAAAAATATTTTTTCAATTTATGATACTGTTCCGTTTCCTGGCTCTGGTTTCACAAGTGGTACTCTGCGTATGTTGGTTTGCATGGAATTTTATTGTGGCTTTAGAGATTTTAGTTTTATTTTAAAGTTTTTCTGACTCGTAGGATTGAATAACGGAGAGAAATATTGAAAAATTTATTTTCTAGTGAGTTTTATGTTTACAAATGTAGTAACATTCCAACTCTTGAATTAAAGCAACGGTTGGTTTCTATTTTTCTTGCTTTTAAAACCCTCATAAGGGTTAAAATTCAAATTTTATTAATTTTTTCCCATTCATCCACTCCAGTTGAAGTGAAAGATCAAATTTAAATGAAGATAAAATTTTCTCAAACAAAGAAAATCTTCAAATTTAAGCAAACCATATTTGCGCGAAATTAAAATAGAAAATCATACTTTATATTTTTGTTAGAAATGTCAAAAAGTTTTAATATAAGGTCAACATTATTCAGTTTATCTCAAACGTTTGATTTCACGTCACTATCATAAAATTTTTAATATATAAGTTAAAAGTACAGAGAAATTTTTTATAAATGAACCAGCTTAATTTAATAGATTTAACTTATATCAAGCGTTAACGATTAAATGATATGAATCAAAAAGTTGAAAACGTTTATTTATACTGAATTAACTTACTAATTGAGCTAACTAGAGTTACTTACGCTAAATATGTTCCTTTTGAAGCAGGTAAAAATTCCTCACGCTCAAGAGAACTAGTGTCGTCATTCACTTCAAAGCTTACACTAAAGTATTCGCTGCTAGAAACCTAGATCAAACAATTAAACATTCATTTAAAACTAATACTATATCTTTATAATGCTTTGATATTATTATTATTATTATTATTGTTATTATTATTATTAATAAATGAATGAAATAATAATATTATCTAATGTATGAGATCTTTGAAACTAAAATTTACCACAATATAATTTAAATTACGAGGACTTTATACAACGAACTTTTTCATTAATTACTTAGAGCCATCGTTTAGTGAAACCTAAATCTCTATTAAAACCAGTTTCAAGTCTTAATTGCATCCTTACTCGTGACATTAATTTCCCAAATGAAATAGCTTGAGTACCTAATAAAACTTAAAAGTTTAACTATTAATTAAATTGACATTGAAATTATTGAATTCAAAAACTACAATGAAAAAGAAAAAAAAATCAATGCTGATGACAAAATCGTTGATAGAGTGACTTTAAATCCGTCCTATTAAAGCTAGTGCTGAATTGATACTTGATACACATTTCCAATAGACATTCTCCGTATGTAAATTAATTACGTTCCATCAGTGATTCAATTGTGTAATTTTACAATGGTCGTGGGCGGGAAAAAAAAATAAAATGAAATTCAATATTGGTGAGCAGATAGCTAAACCGAAATTCGTCGATGGTATTCGAGTATGCAAAATTTGCTCGCTGTATATCCCTATCGTTCGTGTGAATTCCGCGTGTTCATCCGGAACTACATATGCATTTATTGCGTTCTTGCTACTGTTATATAAATTTATACACTTATATATACAGTTTATAATTTATACAGTTATATAAATGTATACACATACACACATAAATTTATAAACATATTTAGTCCTGAGCTTTATGCAGTACTTTCTATACTAACACATCTAGCAATTCAATAGTTTGATTCGCATCCTCTTAATACGATGTAATGTACCATTACTCTTGTTGCTTTTATTCCCAAATCAATACCTGACTACCCGAGGGATAAAAACGTAAAAACAGCGATAAATTACAAATATAAGCAATAAAGAATTATTTATGATCCCTCATTAACTATGGACTTTAGAATATTAATCTGTTCTTTTAGAGTAAAAAAGTTCTTAGCTTAAATAGCTTAACAACTGTTTAAATGTTAAACTTTTGAACATCAAACGAAAATTAAGGACATTTTCGAGTCAGTTACTCGAGCAGAGATGAAAATTTACGAAATACTTGTGTCTGAGTTACGAAGAATTTGTCTGTCTGCTGCTTCGGTAACAGTAGGGGAAATTTCTAACTTTGAAGCAGAGAACATTTTTTTATTATTAATCGGTGTCTTAAGTAAATTAAATTTTATTTTTTCATAGTTCAATAACCCGAAGAAATATCGTAATTTGTGAGCTCAATATCGCTCTGATGATTGAACAAAAAATCAATTAACCTACTCAATTAAACGGATAATGGGTAAACCGCGGAATAACACGATCAAGCGTCAGTTCATTTCAACACTTTTTTCCAGAGGGTATTTTTATACTCATAATGTTTTTATAGACATCTTGGAAAATAATTATCCGCGACAAAATAACCATTAAAAGTTTTAAAAGTATTTATGATAATACGAATTTTATTTCTAATTGTTATTATTATTTTTGTCAATTATAATTGTGCAAAAAACGAAAATAAAAATTCTTGCTAATTAAACACATATTTCAAAAAAGTTAATAATTAATTAGATCTTAAAAAATTAATTATTTTTAATATGCACCTATTTATCTGTAAAAATTGCAATTAACAATAAGTAATATGAATTTCAAGATTATTATCCACTTAATTAAACCCTCAATAATTTCCGCGATAACTTTAAAATAATCAGAGCTATCGTAATAAACTCGGTGAGTTTTTTTTTAATAAATTCAACTATTTTTGCTGTGAGCATTTTTTTATTTCTCAAGTCCCGAGGTAAAACTTGCTTGAAATAATTCACTTTTTTTTTGCTGTATACGTATTGTAGATGACTTTTAGTTAATTAAATATTTTAATAGTCAGATAAAAATTAAAATGAATAATTAAGTTCTGCAATTGTTGTTTTTCAATTAAGAAAACAGATTCATATTTTATTTTCATTTATATTCCATCGGAAAATGAAATATGTATGAATGAACTGTAATAAATAGCTGAAATCTTTGACTAATGCTCTATCGAATGGTCTTGATGCCAACTCAATATGTTCAGTAAAGTGTAAGTTATTGGAGGTTTAAGAAAAAGAATAAATCATTCTAAAAATACAAATTATGCGTCGTTAAAAACAAGAATATTATTTTTCGTAATGTTAGAAAATATATTGATATATTCCCTTGTTTTTTGTTTGTTAATTTTTATTTACGTAAAAATTAAATTAAGTAAATTTTGACATGAAAAAGTCGTAAAGTGCTTCGTAATTTAAAAAATCTTTTGACACTCAAAAATCAAGCGAGAATATTTTTGATTTTTTCACCGTAAATAGTTGATAGATGATTTAAATTCAATAAAGAAAATGTATATGTTGAAAAACAAATTTGATGTGATTATGCAGCACATAAAGTCCTCTCAAATTATAGAGCTCGTTATTAATAAATAAAGGTATAAATTTACATTGAAAGTACCTGAGAACGTGAAAGCTTATGTCGAGTGCGATTTGACGTGCAAGTGTCTGTCGACGTCAAACTTGGCACCAAAAATCTTGGATTAGTGTCCGTAGTGGGATTTGGAGAAAAAAGCAGCGGTGGCACAGGTGGATTTTGATACCGATGCTGATGCGATGCTGTCAGTTGATGCTGAGTTGTAGTCCCACCTGACATATTACCGTGTTCTCCAGTATCCAGCATGTCAAGTTGGCTCAAAGATCTTGAGCGTACCTATTTTTAAAATAAATATCAAGGTGTTATGTTTTTAAAAATACTTGCTAGAGTGTCATGATTTTTATAAATGTTATTCTTTAATACTAAGTAAAGTTATTTTTATCATTTTAAATTCTTTGTGTGTAATTAAAATTTTTTAATTAAAAATTTATACATATTTCTCTGTAAAATAAATGTTTTTAATGAATAAATATTAAGAATTTTCAGTATCAAGTAGAAAGGAATTTTTTTATTGTTTGATATATATATTAAAGAAATTTTGCGAAAAACTAATATTGATTCTATCAACCCACGTCTTTTAGTAGTGAAAATTTTTTTTGCTCCGATAAAAATATCAATTTACCATGTTATAAATAATTCTAAATGTTATTGATCATTCAATATAGATAAATTTGTATTGAATAATTATTATTTTAATATCAGTTTTAAAGAAAATACAGAAAAGTAAGCTGAAAAAAAAAAAAAATATTTGACTTGATTTAAGAGGAAAATTTAAACTAAGAAAATTATTTTGTAATATCTTATTTAAATTATCATTTTTCAAGAATCAAGTTAACTTTTTTTTTTAATGAAAAAATAATTAAGAAAAATGAATAATTCAGAAACTTCTGGCTGACATTAACATTTAAAAAACAAGAAACAATTTTAACAATTCAAGATAAATTATGTAGAAACAAAAATTATTTTTCGCTTTTAAAACGTCAGTGTCAATCATAAGTTTTTAAATAATTCACATAAATTCTCAAAAAAATTTCTTTGCTATTCTTACATTGTCCCATTTGTTTTAGATTACTATTTAAAAGAGTCGGATATACTTATATATATATTTATACACCTATCATTTGACTGATGAGTCCCATCGGTATCCTTACAACTAAACTGTTCAATTAAAATGAACATAAAATTTTTACTATTATAAATTATGGGTGATTCTCTGTAAGGGCGTCTTAAATCTATACAAAGTTGTCCGACTAAATTATTTTTGATTTTATTAAAAAAAAAATTAACAAGGGCTACAAAACTATTAACTTAATCATAATAAATGAACAGCCGAATTAATTTTTGCTTTTTCGATATTTGTGTATCTTGTGCCATGTAACATGACAGGGGACTGTTGCCAGGGGACTGTTTTTTTTCTTATCAAATTGAGAAAAATCAAGCAAACTATTTCAATGCATTCAGTTTTTTAAGTTCTCAATTTTTTTTTATCAAATTGAGAAAAATCAAGCAAACTATTTCAATGCATTCAGTTTTTTAAGTTCTCAATGAATGTTTATATTAATTAGAATAATATTAAGACTTATAGATCGATTTTTATAAATAAATTACATATAAAAATAGTTGCCAGGGGACTGAGTTTTGTAGTGGCCCAGACACATATTTCCAGCACAAACGGTGCTTTAACACTAAATAAAATGGCGATGAAGCGCTAACTGTCCTATGGTTATTAACTTAAGGCTAGTTAGATCCTTATAAACTTTACAAAAGGTAAAATAACACGCTGGATTTTTTTATTTTTGGCTTTGAACTTCTGGCAGGGGACTGTACTTAAAATGCCTGGGATAGACTTCGATTTGATGAAATTAATAAAACAAATTAATTTTCGGTACTTTTCATTGAAGAAGATTGTTAGTTAACTAATTAAGTTTATAAACATTGTGGACCAAATTATATATTATGAACGAATAACTTAAAATTTAATCTTAAAGTTTTAATTTGGGGAGTGGGACAGCCCAGGAGACTGTCATTTTGGTGGTTTACGAATTTATAGCAAAAAAACCAAAATTTATTTCATTTCAATTTTCAATGCTCCAAATAGAAATGTTTTTTTGCTTTCATAATAAATTTTTTTTTAGTAACAAAATAACAATTTTTCTAATAAAACAATGCCTGGGACAACAAAAAACATCCTTACAGAGAATCACCCTTATAACGATAAATCTTTAATGCCACATGTAGTTAAATTTAGGCGAAATGTCTCCTAATTGTAACCATTAGTAACATAGGAAAATATAAATTAAAACAATCGATTACTTGTATCACAGGGGATTTAAATAAAGCAGATTTCGCTAAATTTATTTAAACTATCATAAATGATTATAATAATAATAATAAGAATAATAATAATAATCAAAGAAAAGTGGGTCAGGAAGCCGCATGGTGGCATTAGATCGATCGTAACCAGAGCACTCTTGCGATCCTTATCCAAAGGATCGATCAGCGTCAACTAAACCTGGACATCAGCAGAATTTAAATGGTGCATGGTCAGCGCACATTTTTGTCAATTACTCCACTATTAACCTTTCACAGGTGCATTAAATTATCTTCAGTTCATCATATTTCTATGTTACTGTAATTGCCTTTGGCAGTAAGTAGTTTTACGGAAAATAAATGTAATAAGAGAATGTACATATATTATTAATAATAATCAGATAATCTAATAAAGTTATTTTTTATTGTACTTGGGAAAATATTTTTAACTAATGTGATGGATAAAGAAGAAGAAAAATAATAAGATTTGAAGTAAGGGCTTGGGTCTCTGAAGAAAAAACAAAAGTTTTATCTTTTTATTCCCTCCCGGGAATGTCAATATTTGTGGGTTAGAATTAAACTTTTGTATTGTATCTCTTTATTTGATCGAGTATGTTTGATCGTGTATTGAATTGAAACTGAATTTTGCGGCCGGGCTTTTATATAAGTTACGGCCTTGCGCTACCACGATACTTCATCTACGCTTTTGCTTGAGGTTATATGTATGCCACTTTATAATATATATATATATATATATATTTCATACGTATAAGTAAAATGTAATGTTCGTTGGTGAGCGCAAAATTACGTGTCTACGTGAATATGTAGATGTGTGGGGAAAGAAAATTAAACTTGTGTACGCATAGAATAGAATTGCGGGAACAACCTTGCTCCCAGTACTGTCTATCATACATCTCTCCTTGTCGAAGCGTGCTGAGGCTGACAGGGTAAATATAGATGTATGATACAGGGTGGGTAGCATAATTACAAATTGTTTAGCATTATATGAGTAAGTGTAATTATAAAGTACATGTTGAAAAACGGCGTTTTGAATTTAATTATAATTCTAATCATCCTTTTAAATAGACATCGTATTATTAGACTGTAATATATACTAGATCTTTGAATGAAAATTTTCATTTGCAGGAAAAATTATGACAATTGTTAATTTTTTGAGAATTATTGTTATTTAGACTGTAAGTTAATTATTAGAAATTTTAAACTTACAGATGTGTGTAATGCAAACTTTGGGAGATTGTGATTTTAATTATGATGTAAGTTGTGCTAGGTATAAATTAGCTTGATTAATTAGTTAAGTTTGTCTGGGCAATAACTAACTGAATATCTTGCAAGACTTTACTTTAAACAAACATTAAATTATTTTTCTTTTAATCAAAAAATCGGTAATTATTTAGATGTGAGCTCTCCCGTTTTTTTGACCATAAAAAATTTTTTTTTTACTTTCTATATAATTTTCTGAATCATCTTCATAAATTTGCTGGAATGAAGAAAAAATATTTAAATAAGTTAATTTTTCGATTTTTTATACTCTGACATCTAAAAAATTACCGAAAAATAAAATTCTTGTAATTAATTAAAAAAAATTTCGAAACTAGTTCAGTAAGTTAACATTAGTTTAGTGTAAATTCATTGTTTTGAAGTACTTTTGATTTTCAAATTTAAATTTGCCCTCACGCAAAAGTTTATAAATTTGGATGTAAAAAAATATACACCCAATTATATGTGTATACAATCGTGGCCATTAATTTCGTGAAAAGGTTTCTCGTTGTTTTTCATGTTAAATGAAACCAAAGCATACTTGAATTAATGGCCCCGATTGTATTTTATACATTCAGATTGACCCGCGGATATGATATTAAATTTTTAAGCCAAAATATGTACAAAATTTATGAATTGAATTTTATATTCTTTTGATAAAATTCTCAAGTAAATTATTGGCGTGTCTCATACATACTAAGACACATCGTAAACGAATTACCTGATATCCAGGACGGACATAAATTTATATCCATGAGAATATAAAAATCCAAATTTTTCCAAAAAATTTTTAAGCATATTTTTTCATAGCATTGTAATTTTAATGACTATACGTATTAATTATTATATAACGAAGTAATAATAAAAATTTACCGAGACTATAAAAAAAATTGTTCTATTATATTATATTTTAATTTTCCGCTCGCATACTTTTATAATCAGCACTTTTACAAAATCTAATATTAACTATCACATCGATAGTATATACTAGACTAAAAATAAGTATAAAAATTTTTAAGACGTGATTTCTTTACAGTGTACACAAGATTAATAATCTTGATAGCACTTGTAATCTTCATTAAAAATTTAATTTTAATAACCTAGATATAAGAAGTCTTATTTTGTTTTACCATAAATTTCTATCAGAAGATAATAATAGATGATTTTATTATGCAAAGTATGATTATTATTTTTCACACGGATAATTTTAATTGATCATTAATTTATCTTGATGAGACTTTGGGGTCGAATAAATTTTTTTTTTTTTTTAATTAAAAAACGACAAAAATTTATCATTTACAACACTTTGCGTGTGCTGGTTAGATCAGCCTGAGTATAGAGTTTAATAAGATCTAAGCCTTGATACTTGTCGTGAGGATTCATCAAGACTCAACTTTGATTAAATTTTAAGCCCGATCGACTTAGTAGATGGTGGGTTGCTTTAATAATTAAATTATAAATCAAAATATCATATATATCCTTCATTTCTGAGTACAAAATTCAAAAACTGATCATCATTGCAGCCAATTATAGTTCACAATTTAAAGCTTAATTGCGCTTTAATTAATTTAAATTAAATGAACATGTTGTAGATCCAAAACTTTCATGGGTAAGTTTAATATTAGAAATTTCAATATTTTATAGTTGGTAATTTTAATTACGCAATTTTCAAACATCGAAACTTTTTTAT